TCAAAATCGAGTTCTTGCCCGGACACTGCCTTTAAGGGCCGGGCAAACATCACGCGATTTCATCGCCTCGCGATTCTCTCGGTAAGACAACTGTTACGAGTCCATTGCATGCTGATCATTTTGCCATTGTTGTGATAGTTATTCGGCGCGATAATCGCTGACCACTTTTTCCCCGGGCATACTTCCTTCAATGAAATCGTCGCGATTTGCCCGAATTTCAGCGATATCGCGTCGCTGACTTTAAACGAGCGACGCGACCTAATCGCTAAGATTGGACTTCTTCTCTGAAAGTTTTTATGATCGTTTCTTAGCTTTTTGTGCTGTTTTCTTGTCTACTATTTCAAAAATAGTTCTATTTTGTCAGAGTGCATTGTTCTCCGCAAATCGATTTTCTTGCATCCATTTTTGGTGCTATCCTTGACCCAAGATTTCAAAGCCCTGAATTTCGTTCAGACTCGGTCTAGAGGAGTTGTTCGATCCGCTGGTGCCGAATCATGGTTATTTTGTACGGTAGCGCCATTTTCTGGGGCTACCATGAGTTTACAGTAGTGGGTCAAAATCGCGGCTTCGTCTAAATTTGTTGTGGGGTTTCTTGGCGCACCGAACATGATCATCATGATGATTACTTAGAAGCACCATTTTCTTGCAATTTGTGCCAACCACAACGACAATTACGATATCTGGCATCAGTGGATCGAATAACCCCTTTGGACCGAGTTTGAGCAAAATCCGCGAATTTGAAACAGTGACGCCCAGATAATGGACCAGAGTCGACTTTTAATGTGATTGCGGTTGGAATTGATTCTGGACTACAAAATGAAAATAAATACAAATGAAAAAATCAAGCCGAATGTAATACAAATACTTATAAGTAGTTTTCTGTTCGAACTTTCTGTTTCGATGTACAATCAATTGTTTCAACATGAGGATCGGTAAACGCTCCTCCTCAACTCCGCTGAACTAAATTTCTCAGAACTCAAAGAAAAGTTTGAGAATGTATAGTATGTGCTCAAGTGAGAGAAAGTGCATGAATCGCCGCAGAAGTATGTCCATGAACAAGCAACTAGCGATTTTGTCGCCGCGATCTCGTCGCTACCTGCAGCAAATCGCGACGACCAGAAATCGCGGCGATGAAATCGCGTGATGTATGTCCCGCCCTTTAGGCCCCGGACATACTTCACGCGATTTGATTGTCGCGACTCAATCGCCGACATTTCCATTCATTTTCATTTCACATTCAAAAATTTCGGGCTGGAAAAGTATCACAACCGAAATGCAAGTTGATCGGCATGGAATGATGTTGTAACAGTTGTCTCGTCGCGATTCAGTCGCGACAATCAAATCGCGTGAAGTCTGTCCGGGGCCTTAAGGCCTTATACAATTCGCGCTTCACACAACTTCCGTGCTCAGCTAGCGTTATAAGTGTTTTCCAGAACACTTGAGTGTTGGTTTTGAAACTTTATCATCCTACCAAGACGTAGAAATACTATTTTTAAAGTCAGTTCTACAAAACACTTTAAAGTCAGTTCTACAAAACACTATCACAAACGTCTCCATGGTTTTCGGAAGATCTCTCAAAGGCAGCGTCCATTTTGTTTCCCATGTTTTTGCCACTCCGGGGCCTTTCCGTAGCCCTCATTACAGTTAGGAACTTCAAATAATCTAGAACCCCCAAAAACCCGATTCCTGAGGACCCGTCTTGAGGGCGCGGGCGGCTTTCAGTACATGGGTGGGCGGAGTCTGAAAGGATCTGGGCGGGGCCTGATAGCACTTTGGGTGTTTCCAGGCCCTTTATCTCCATTCAGAGACAACATTAGAGGACCGAACCAAACGATGTCCCTCTCGTGGGGCCTTTATTCAGGATCGACCCTAATCGGAGGGGGTTAGATTTAGCCTGGACACTGCCTTTAAATTGCTAGCAATCACCGTGGCATTCCGAAATTCTTACCGCAGTCCCGCAGCAGTTCAACAGAGTACAATCCAGAACTGATTGATTGTGAAACAAAAACGATTGATGAGTTCTGTGTTGTAATCTGAGGTTTGATTTGATTTCGCCTCTTGGTTCAGTTTCTCCTACGGCCCTCTGCAAAATACTTTTCAAGGAAGCTGAATTTTACAGACTCAAATAGTTTCAGACCTCATCTCAAGCTTCAAGCACAAAATGGTACGAGGAAGATGGAAACTCGGAGGCATCGAAAATTTGATCAGGAACAAACATGGATTAGCCGTCGTTATTTCGTTAACGCCAACAAATTTTGCATCAGAGCAAACTTAATGGATGTTTTGACTTTATGTATTGTACGTCAACTCTTGTTTGATCATTCGTTTATGTATTTACATTGCCCGGATGAAGAGGACTTTTATAAGAAATCGTGGTTGATGTTAGGATGGACATTATTGAGTGGATTTATTTCAATGAACCTTCCCGACCGAATCCGCCTACTAATAATGGATATTAACAAGAGTCAGTCAGGCCGTTAGCGACAGATTGAATCCCCAAACTGTGTAAGTATATGTTTTTTAGAATAGAGGGGTATGCATTGGCTCATCATGCCACACTCAACCATAATTTTTCGAAATGTAATTGTCAGCCCACTGCAAGGTGATTATCAGATACGATGCTAGTAAAATTGGTTGGAAAACATAGATGGGTACTATGGAGTCCTTCAAGACTGAGCACAGAGAATAAAACAGAAAACGCTACATAATGGAATCTAAAGTGTGTCAATATTTGCGATAATTTTTGACTCCATTGACTTGCAAATGCACCAAAATCGCCTATGACTTTCACTAACTCGTTTTATATTATCTATTGCATTTATCGTATATCAGAATCCATTTCTCCTATTTTCACAAAATTTTGTAAATTACTCCCGTTAATCCACCCCAGTTACACTTTCCACTTTTCGCTGGTCGTGGGTTGTTGAATAGCACTCATGTTTGTGCAAATAAAACCACCCACAGGTAGTATTGTACCAGTAGTATATAGCCATACTATGAATCAATCGCCAGTCATGTGCTACAGATTTTGATTTGATTCTTTTTATTTGATGTTTCGCTAATTTGCATATAAAAATTGATGAGCTGTGTCAAACTTATCAATACACTAGCTGGCTTGCCCGGCTCCGCCGGGCCTGCCAGCTAGACCCGTGTACGTATGTTCCAAATAGAAAATTCCATTTCTGAACCGATCCGGACCAAACTTTGCACACATACACTTCGGGCCCCGGCGGGTGTCACAGTCCACTTTTCGTTATCGATCGATGTCGATTATACCGATTTTTATCGATCTTTTTTGCAGAGTTCACCTACAGGGCTAGGAGTTGGCACAGGGGGGAAGTGAGCATGGGGATTCCGAACACAATATTAGTTTTCAGAATTATCGATTACTTTTATTGATTTTATCGATTTTTTTGTAAATTTTGACCTGCGGGGCTGGGAGTTTGCACAGGGGGGTAATCGAGCATGCTGATTACGAACACAATATTAGTTTTCAGGATCGTCCATTACTTTTATCGATTTTATCGATTTTTTTGTAAAGTTTGACCTGCGGGGCTGGGAGTTTGCACAGGGGAGTAATCGAGCATGCAGATTACGAATACAATATTAGTTTTCAAGATCGTCCATTACTTTTATCGATTTTATCGATTTTTTGAAAATTTGAGCTAGGGGGCTGGAATTTGGCACAGGGGTGTAATCGAGCATGCTGATCACCCCCCTTGGGGATGATCAGCATGCTCGATTACCCCCCTGCGCCAACTCCCAGCCCCCTAGCTCAAACTTTGCAAAAAAATCGATAAAATCGATAAAAGTAACCGATAATCCCGAAAACCAATATTGTATTCGGAATCCCCATGCTCGACTACCCCCCTTTGCGAACTCTCAGCCCCGTAGCTCAAACTTTGCAAAAAAATCGATAAAATCGATAAAAGTAATCGATAATCCTGAAAACCAATATTGTATTCGGAATCCCCATGCTCGATTACCCCCCTGTGCCAACTCCCACCCCCGTAGCTCAAACTTTGCAAAAAAATCGATAAAATCGATAAAAGTAATCGATAATCCTGAAAACCAATATTGTATTCGGAATCCCCATGCTCGATTACCCCCCTGTGCCAACTCCCAGCCCCGTAGGTGAACTCAGCAAAAAAATCGATAAAAATCGATAAAATCGATATCGATCGATGACGAAAAGTAGCCTATGACACCCGCCGGGGCCCAAAGTGTATGTGTGCCAAGTTTGGTCCCGATCGGTTCAGAAATGGAATTTTCTATTCGGAACATACGTACATACAGACATACAGACAGACATACAGACAGACATACAGACATACAAACAGACATTCAGCTTTATATATAAGATAATTTTCTAGCACTTGTCAAATTATAGGTTTATTTTTTACAGTTTTCTGTGCTTACTCTATAATTTCATCTATGACTTTTTTCAGGAAGGCTTTCATATTTGAACGTACATCAAATTGAACTGTAAAATGTCGGAGTCAGACGACGACTGCTTCAAGAAATCAAACAATGGCAGTCCCAAAAATGACAGTGACAGTCCCAAGAAGGCAGACAATGACATTGCTAAGAAGTCAGACAGTGACTGTCACAAGAATGACATTGACAGTCTCAAAAACTCAGGAAATGACAGTCCGAAGGAAACGAACAATGACAGTCACAAGAAGTCGGAAAATGACAGTTCCAAGAAGGCAGACAGTGACAATCAAATGGAGGCACACCATGACAGCCCCGAGGACGACAATGATAATCCCAAGAAGTCAGACAATGACAGATCCAGAAAGGCAGAAAGTGACATTCAAATGGGGACAGGCAATGGCAGTCCCGAGCACGACAATGACAGTCCTAAGAAGTCAAACAATGACAGTCCCAGAAACGCAGAAAGTGACAATCAAATGGGGACAGGCAATGGCAGTCCCAACAACGACAATGGCAATCCTAAAAAGTCAGAAAATGAAAGTGAAAAGGAGGCAGACAATATTATGACAAAGTCAGAAAATGAGGTGAGACACTGGTTTTCTAGATTTAGTTGAAATAACTTCGTCGACCATGATTTTGCTCGAAAAGACTTCAATATATACGGTAGATATGCAATTAAAGTTTTGGCACTTTTACTAGCTCTATAGAAGCCCGTTTACAATAGATTGAGTTGGCCAGCAACCAAGGTAAAAGAATTTTCAAAACGATAATTTTTATGCCCCTATTGATGACAGATAAGTAAGTGATTCGGTGAACAGGAGCTTACAGCATGTGTACAGAACAGTGACCGTCCAAGAAGTTTTCTTGGCAAAAAAAATTTTGAATGAAGGATTGTGGCGTTAGCCACGCCTTGCGAAAATATGTTTGGAATGCTTTCTTAACTTTTTTTGTTGCCTCCCCTCTCAGCTTCTTGGTATGTTTTGAGGGTCTCCAGTGGTACAAAACCAAGGTCTTTCGAGCTCATTTACCAAAGTTAGTGGTAGATGTGTTAATCAAGAATATATTTCATTTTTTGCAAGACGAAAGTGTATGGTATTCAAACTAAATTTTGGGATCTGAATTGTATCAACCGTTCCATTAGACATAATTTCATCTTCGAGAGGCATAGTTTTCAGTATTTCAACAATCATGGATTGTCTATTTCCGGATCGATAGATGCAAATATGTTAATACCTGGGACCGGAGCACGGGACTCGTTTTGAGGACATTGAAACATGCACTTTCAGCACTTGCTCTTGAAGATATCATTATTGAGAGTTTGCTTATCACTGAATGTTTGCCTTCTCTCACAAGAATTTACATCACTCAAAATCAAGCAAATTTACTGCATTTGCATTTCCGCAAGAAATAAAAGGCATTTGGGAGTCGGATTTCGTAATTCTATGTACTTTTATGCCTCCGACGTCAAAGCTTTTTTGCAAACCCAAAACTGAATTATACTTTCCCTTTGTCTCGGAACAGAAAAGCAGTGTTTCTCACCTTTTGCAAATTTCCAACGCTTTTGCAGAGCTTTTGTCAGTATAAAATCTGTCTCAGTTTTACGGATCTGATGGAAAGAGAACCGATCATTTCCTTTCTCTTTCTATCTTCACGATTACAAAGCATTTAAAAAGGACTGGGTCGCTCTTATTTTCGCATTTATTTACAACATTTATTGATGAGTTTATAGCAAATAATGAAGTTATGCTGTCAATTTTAGAAACGTTAACTCGTTTATAATATTAGCATATTTGTGAAAGGTTAAAACACGAGTCCATATCTCACCATTCCATTTGAGAATTCCATACCCAGCCACAAGGGTTAGCTCAAATTATTGTTTAAAATTTAGTGCATTGATAGGTTAGCGAGATTGCGGCTAAATAAATGCTCAAAAATCAGCATTTTCCAAACATGACTATATTTGAGTTTCTAGTGGTCAGACTAAATTTTGATTTGATTCAACATGCGTTATATTGTATTTCCAATTGATATACGATTGGCATGTATGATTTCACCTGACTCTTCAGCTTTGTTTAGGGGAGCTACTTCGCGTATAGGGCACTCAAAAATCGTGACGATGGCGCGACCGCGCGCGGCACGCAAGCACATCCCAACCGAATTTTCTTGGTTTTCATCTTTACTCGAATAGTTTTTCTACTTTATATAACAGTATTTGGACATTGGAAGTGACTGAAATGAGAGTTGAGGTGATGCCTTCTTTGAGGATTTCTGCTCCTGGGGGCGCAAAGACCGCAGTCAAATCCTTCGTCACGATTTTACAAACGACCTATACAAATTTCTGGCTCTAGTTCCTATCTGAAAAATTGACTAGTTTTCATGGTTGCTTTGCAATAAATTGTAGTTATATACTTCAAGCATATTTGTTGCGTCTTTGTTTTATTTATGCTTATTTGTACTGCGGTTGTGAGTGGAAAGACTCGAAAAGAAATGTCCAAGTACTCCAAACAAACATGAGCAAACAAAACTGAAGGGTTCTGGAGAAGTCGTTTCCCGATTGACATTTTATAGTCGTCATTCATGATACGAAATGACAAAACGACATAAAACGAAAATCTAGACCGGCAAGTAAAAAAATTGTTAACTCAGAGTAACTCAATTAAATTAAATGATGATGTAATTCATAATTTTCATACGTAATAGGCCATTATTGAACGAGCTGTTCGAAACTCAAGCCTTTCAAATCTTAGGGGAGTTTGAACGCTAGTATAACAATTTGATGAGAAACGTTTCCCCTTTACCAGCGATGCCGCGTTATTAAATGACTCTACTAAAACTCGGTACAGCCAAAGTTTGTTAGCCATTTAACGCGCTTTTTGAGCGGAATCTTCAAATTTGCTCTGAACACGGGGGAATATTTACCTTCTACGGGGAGGGGACGGGGGAGCATGTATTTCTTTTCCCGTGACATACTAGGTAAAATACATTCACTAAATTTTGGTTTCCCTCATCCGAAAACCAATAAGAATCGATAAATACTGATCAGGATCGTTGAATGCTGCGCATGCAATTCAATACATTAGAAAACGATGGCACAAACGTAACGTTTGAATAATAGCCACTCAATGGTGCACATTTCATCATCATTGTAAAGCAATAATTCACGGCAAGATTCCACCTTGAAAACGACATCAAAGGACCTTTCGCACTGTCGGAGTTTTTCACCCGGGGACCAAAAGTCGCACATGATGTTCGTGCCAGCTAATTAGCAGAAATGCTCTTCTAATGCATGTCTGAAGCAATTATTGCTTGAAGGTAATACATACCATTCGCAAAAAAAGGCAATCTAGGTAGTCTTTCAAGCATGAGCGGCTGTCTTGCTCCACATAGCAGTTCCCTCGCGACGCGAACACCTTGCGCGCGCCCGCGGGTTTACCGGTCGAACTCATCGGGATCGGCCATACTATTCCTGCTATTCCTACGACTCCTGCGAATCCTGCGATTCCTGTGAGTCCCGCACAGTTTAGACGCCGCTTAAATGAGCGCGTGTTGCGTAAAACAACACGTAACACGCAACACGCGCTCATTTAGCGGCGTATAAACTGTGCGGGACTCACAGGAATCGCAGGAATCGCAGGAGTCGTAGGAATAGCAGGAATAGTATGGCCGATCCCATCGTGACCTTGAATTTCAGTTCATGTGGAGTTCTTTTCCTACCAGCAGCTTGTCTCTTCCAACTCGCCTAGATTAGGAGGCTGCTATTAATATTCTTTATACAAAAATATAATCATTCTTCTGTTTCGGACTAAGGAAAGCTTGGTTTCTCGACAGTCCTAATCATTTCCGGTTTCAGAAAATGAGCACATCGCGATTTATGACCTCTGAGGGTCTCATGCCATCAACAATATTTGACAAAGGCAGGTTTTGTAATCCCGCACACATAAATTATCGATTTCCACTTTTTGTTGTTTTTGGTGTTACGCCAATGCCCGCTTTAGAAGATGCTGATATGGACGTATCCGAAGAAATGGAAGAAGTGAGGGAGCTACTCTACGAGATGATCAAGAAGAACTTCCCTATGGGTGTGTCATCGTCTCATCTAGCCCAGAAATATCACGAAGAGTATGTTTTCGTTGACTTCATTTCTTCTTTTTCTTTGATTTTACCTTCCTGAAACCTCTGCTCAAGCTACAGTTCTCCTATTTCATTTGGAAACCCAAGCTTTATACTTTTATTTGATCACCTGTCAAGTTGCTAGCATGTTTGTTCAAATATACAACGATTGATATCTCTCAGCGCGCATCTATGGGGTGTTCGGGTTACGACGGACGTGACGATTGCGTGTTTACGCAGTTAGTCCTAATCTTTGTTTTGTGGCTTTCACTCTTGACTGACCCACATTGCTTCCGCTAGCTTCCCTTAGTGTACATGATTATTTTTAACGCCAAAGTCTGTCTCACCGTTGCACGCTAGGGTTGTCGCGGGTTTTATTGGCTCGCCTACCAGTATTCAAGATGGCCTTATGCTTATACATGTCTTTTGCGCAAATCACTACCAGAATTCGCCTTGCTGCAATTTCGGTTTTTGCGAACATCATGGGGCCTCCGCGTTCGTCTACGACTACAACCTATTGTATCGTCGTACCCTTTTGCGTCAGGCGGAAACATTTGAGCGTATGCGGCGATGCTGTAGTGAGTTTTATGGGTTGAAAACTGATTGGTGATTCATCGCGGGAAATCGTGATCAAACCTAACCTTTTCGAGGCCTTGAACATTCTTTGGTACTGCGACGTGTTTATGGTTTCCGTAAGTGTTTGCGTTAAGTAGAACTTGAGATTACGAACTGTGTATACTGTGAATTCAAAATCCATGTACGATTTGAAGAGATCTGGCAAATCGCCAAATAGTGTGCGGATGTGGAGGCGATTTGGCGATTTTTTTGTGGCTGCTGCTATACTCAAATTGTGAACTTGGAAGCGGAATGGAGCCAGTTTTTCGTAAACTATACCTGCATCCTAGCTCTCAGGAAGGCTCGCTACCATTTACTTCTCATAGCTGCTTCATTTGTTTCGTTTGAGAAAATTACTGCTGCCCTTACTTCAAAAACTGTAGTCATAGTACATATGTTACTATACCGTAAATTTTTGCAGCTTATTACAAAGTTCTTTCACTTGGAACCAGTTAGTGACATGAAATGTATAGATGATCTCATTCGGAAACTAGTCAACGTAGTCCTTGTTCACAAGCAATGATTTCCCAGGTATGTGTCGAAAGGCCTTGGTCGAGAATTACCAGAGGATTGGCTCGTTCAAGTAGCAGAGGCGGAAGAATTTGAGGCGCAAACTCGCGGCCCACTCACAATCTTATTTGTAAGGCTCTCAAATACGAATTCATTCAAAAGGCCTCCCATTTCACATACTGATGTGAAAGGTAAGTCGTACACGTTTGCTCCTAATATCCACGAACAGCGATTTAGTGCTCTCAGCTGGAACCACCCCTGCGGATGCTGATCTAATCAAATTGAGGAAAGATCGTTATCCTTTGCAGCATGCAGAAACGGTAAGTTCAGTTATCTTCTTATTGATTCTTATGTCATGCGTTACAGCTTTCTGTTACTTCCAAAGCTCTCGAACCAAAATGTGATGTCATAGTTGTTGCATTCGAATCCTCTAAAGATCTGCATATACGAGCTACGGCAGATGATCCTGTATTCGAATCGCTTAAGGCTGATATGAGGAAATTCTATGCTGACAACCCTAGTGACAGAAGAGTTCAGATATATGTTAGTCAGTGTATTCTTTTGTTGACTTCGATTAAGTAGGTATTGATTTGATTGAATGTGACTGTTGTTTTTCTCTTCTTGCATTATAGTTGTTGTTGTGCCTTTTATCGTAAGCTTATGATAAGTACTAGAATCAAATACTCAAACGTCTCCACCTTTCTCCAGGAAGTCTTGTCGGGAGGAGCATATGCGTTGTGTGATGCTGCGGGAAATTGGTTCCGAGTCATTGCCGTGGTAAGAAGTGCTTTTCGCTTCTAGTTCCAAGGTTTCATTGCGATTCAAGGAATTGCCACGATCGGGCACGGTCAAGTGTTTTTTCTGCGATGTTGGTGTATTTGGCGCATATCCAGTGGTGGATCTCCGTCTTCTGCCGGATCCAGGTCATCCCATCATGTCCCGTATGTTTCTTGTATTTTCTTCTTATAAGGAGAGGATACTTACTCGAAAGCACCAATCCAGATGAGACATATATCATTTTAAAGCGCTTGAAACGCTGATTCCAAATCTGTAGTTTCTAACTGCGGAGCGGTTTTGTAGAAGGAGTTATGAAGGTTGCTCCCCTCTGAAGTTGAGGCGCCCTCCAGCGGTCTCCCCTTATCTATGAGCACTGCAGAGGAGTATCAGCTGGTGGCAACTGGCCTGGTGGTAAGTGACGTGCTTGATAAGGAGAGTGTCAAAGTTTTAATCCCTTTGGCATGCAACTGTATTGCAGTTTTTGCCAAATTGAGCTTCTAAATGGCTTCAGAGCCCTAAAGCCTGAAATTTTCGATGATATTGATGCTAATCGAAGTTAGAAGTGTTAAAAAAACCAAAGTAATACGAGTATCATAATCCTTATTGTAATCTTCATTCAAGATAATTACCATTAGGCCAGTTGCCACCAGCTGATACTCCTCTGCAGTGCTCATAGATAAGGGGAGACCGCTGGAGGGCGCCTCAACTTCAGAGGGGAGCAACCTTCATAACTCCTTCTACAAAACCGCTCCGCAGCTAGAAATTACAGATTTGGAATCAGGGTTTTAAGCGCTTTAATATGATATATATGTCTCATTCGGATTGGTGCTTTCGACTAAGTATCCTTTCCTTGTTAGTTGTCCTTACAAATTTCCCATCACTTGTTGTTGGCCGTAAGTTAACCTTTTGAAATGTTGTGCCTCTATCTTTGAGTCTATGCGTTCAGTCTTCCTTTTAGACGGAGCTTTGGCTAAGCGTGTGAATTTGGCCTTGCCCGACCATGCTGTGGGTGACATATCTGATGAGATACTGCGTTCCGTGCTGTTTGAAAAGGATGCAGTAGGCAATCTTATACCAGTGCGCATGCAGGTGTGTTTTGGTGTTCGGTTTTCTTATCGAATTAATCATTACCTATCTCTTTCGGTGACCTCGTTTACTGAAGTGACTGTCGATGGTGAGACTCTGACCACCGCTGATCTGTGGTTGACAGATGGAAGAGCCGTCGTTGAAGTGGTTCTGATGAACATGCCTGATGGCAGAGACTGGTCGGCTTCCACGAAGTGAGTGTTGCTTCTGTCTTGAGATTTACTGTAAGTGTTCTCGTGTCGGTTCCATTATTTCTTTCTCTTTCAACCTCTGAAATTTTAAGGGCTTAATAGCTTGAATGAATGAGCATGTTTTCACAAGTAAATTGGTGCTACTCTACAGTCTGTTTCCTAAGCTCCCATACTGGAAAAATGATCGGAAAACGAGCGGAACAAAGCTTGAGATCTTTTTGCGATGATACTAGTTCCATAAATGTATCCTTTGGAATTTTTTTTGATGTTTTCTTTTTTGAGAATGGAAAGTTTTTAGGACAACCGGCAGATAATATCAAGATTTTCAAAAAGTGAAAGTACGAAAATCTTTGCGCTCAGTGCAAAAAAGTTTATATCATTGAAGGGATTCCAAAGTGTTCGTAGTTTTTCTCTATAAATTATTTCTGTAGACCACTGCATTCTGCCACCGACTCTCTCGAATAGAGTCTGATCTTCATTAATGTGAGATCACGCTGTGCGAGAGCTTCTGAATAGTGCTTTCTAATCTTATAAGCTTGAAGATTCTGTGTTATATGTGTGTTAGCTGTTGTTGTAGTTGTGATGGTCCGCCAGCCACATCGGTACTGCCTACTTCTGCCAGTTTACCTCCTACTGTTTGCGTTTTCGATGGTGATGTAGAAATAGTCCCGATGGACGTTAGTCAGATTCCATCTGCTACTTTCTCAGCAAATGCCCTTTTTGCCGCGGGCCCTGCAGATATCAGTCTTCGTCAGGTGTCCCTTGTAAGTCTTCTTCTGGTCCGCAACTGTTATACGTCGTTGGTGCAGAAATTCCGCTCACGCTGCCAAACTTGTTCCAGGATCCGATGCCTGATTACATGTACGACAAACTTGCCGAAGAATGTCAGATGCCCGACGCGCAGCTAGATGGCCCACCTCGCCCAGGTGCTTTCTATGCTGCACTGATCAACGATCGCTGGGAACGTGTGCAATGCGTGCGAGCCAGCAAAATTGGTTTGTTTTTCGAATTGTTGTATCGTTGTATATCCGTTATGCGTCATCGCATTCAGACAAAGCAGCATTCTGCGTGTATCTCATAGATGTTGGTGCCTTTCATTATGCAAGAGCGGATGTTCTTAGGAGGCTCAATATCAAAACCCCTTTTCGTAAAATGCTTATGTTCAAATGCAAGGTATGTCATTTCTATATATCATGACATCATTGCCGTTATCGTCTGAGTGAGAACACATCTCTCGTGTTTTTTTGCGCCTTTTGTGATACCTCGTGTGCTTATTCATTCATGTTGATCTGCGCTATACGTGGGATTGTGGACGGTTACGTCTCATACTGTCTCACACTGGAGATTGTAGGATTATTTGGCGATTTCCACACATGTCGAAAAAGTCACAGTTGTTCTGCCTTCTCAAAATCGTAAAAAATAGGAATGGGTCATAAAAAGCGCTCCCAAAAGATACACGCTATGCGGCCAGCAGTGCTGGATGCCCCTCTCTATTGTATGTGTTGTTATGCGTTTGCATATCGCTATCCTTCTATCGATTATATGCGTATAGCAATAGCCTTTACAGATTGCGCATATCGTACCAATTGGTGGTCAAGATGTGTGGAGTCGTGAGTCTCATGAAGCTGTTCGCGAATTTTTTGAAGCGGGAATGGGCGACACTGTGATGGTAAGTCTACCATGGCATGTATTTCACTCAAGTTCACTCAATATGTGGGTTTTGAGAGTCAGTCTTTGATCTCCTACTGCTCTAGATAGATTTGGCGCGTTTTTTTTACGCTATGTCCGTATCAGTCCAAAAGACGAAGGAAATATTCAGAGCAACGCAAGCCTATTTTCCTTTTCCCCCATCCGCTTGAGCGCAGTGTCTTCTAGAACCAGCTGTTTCTTTCCACATATTCCGCACGCTCTAGTGTGACCTTGCTGCTACAGTTACGCACAACTTTTTGGTCCTTCGCATCCAGGAATGATGGTGGCTTGCAGCCCGGTATCCAATCGGCCATACTGTGAGTCGAACTTGGTATGGTTTGAACCCTTGTCTGAAGCTACCACGTCTCACAAACAAAACTTATCAGCTTTGTCAATGAGATTTTCCTGTTTTATTTGCAGCTCAAAGCATTTATGAACATTTTCTTTGCTACGCACTGTCTGGGAGAATTTGCTTTACCTTGGCTTGCGCTTATCGCAAAATGCACTTTATAGCATGCAAAAATTGCGGAGACCTATAATAGATCTATTCGTCGCGGCTGTTTTGCAAAAATCTTTGGTGCTAACACTGAATAACGTGTCAGAACCACGTGCACTACTGCAGATAGGTGCAAGGGTCACAGTTGTTCGGAAGTTTAGGAGGGGATTGAAGGAGAATTGAAACATTTCATCTATCGGCCTGTCATTTTAAACTAGATTCCTGTCTTAATTGACAAATTAGACTAAACTTTAGGTAACTCCTTTGCCGAATGGCCATGGGTTGTGGAAGCAAATGAATGCACCGTCAGTTCCACTGGTTACAGCGAGTGTCTCGTGTTGTGGACGTGATCTCGCTGATTGGCTAATATCTCGTTGTTTGGCTATGCCAGAAACATGTTGATATCAATGCGTTCGTTCTTGAAGATTGCTTGACTTTTTGCGCTTGCCAGTTTTATACTATTTATTTCTATGCAGTTGAATCACTAAAATGCTAGTCGTTTGATCCTTATATATGTCATAATATCTTAATGTGATTAGTTTACCGCTTTTTTAATGCTGTAATTTTATTCACCTAATACGCAGCTTTGTTACAGACATAATACTAGCAAGTCAGAGCATAACATTTGTGCAACGTTTGTATTTATTAATCTTGGAGCTCATGTTGATTCAAACTTTCAGTTACGAGTGCACTTTTACATCTGTGATTTCTTCAGTGCTTGGTTGCGGTTCAATCCTGTCACTCTAATTTAAGTTGCTCACATTCAGTGACGATGTACTGCTTTATTCGTTTGCACAAGTTGTGATATTTAGAATCGCATTGAGTAAAGATTTCTATTTTCTGAACATCACTTCTTCAGAAGAGTTTTTACTCATTATCGAAATCCAATTGTTTTGATTTTGTGGAGCAAGTTGTGTCGGCACTCAAATCATCTGTAAAACTGAATTAAAAAGGTACCTTCGGCATGCGTATGGCGCGTGCTGGAGTGTTGCGCGCTGTGGTTGTGACCAGCATAGTATGGCTTCTACTCGATGTGGTCGTTCTGTTCTACTATCTAGATACCGGCAGCATCACTTCCGGGAAAAGGGGGTGCGTTTCTGCTATGATTGCGGCGTCAGCCTGCTAGAGTTTTTTTGTTTTTTTTTTATCCGGATTATAGTTTATAAAACATTGCTCGTAGACCGCTAATGTTAGTGTGTATACACCGCATCAACAATGCTTGTCCTTATTTAGGTTAACATAAAAATGACGTCATTTCGTGAGTCTATTCTGACCAAGCGTTTAGATGGAGAATCTCTTCATACCCAGTTAGTGTTAATCCCCTTCAGTCTGCACACATAACTCATGACGATTTCGATTACTTATCCAGGCTTGACATGGATGATACTCGCCTATATTATTTGTTAGAAACTGAGTGGTCTATCGAAGTTATCAGGTCGTAGCATAAGTTTTTTATACTTGAAGGAAAAAAGTTCATTACTTTCTCGTACGATTTTTTCCTAACTTTAAATTGAGTTGTTGAGTTGATGGTTGTATCTTCTTAATATATTGTTGTCGGCGTGAGAAATCCAATTTTTGAAGCTTAAAAATTTTTTTTTTGTTTTTGACAAATTCCAATTTTTTCCGTCGTTGAAAGTACTAAGTCATCAGAAATCCACAAAAAATCTGAGAGCATCAAAAATGAGAATGGAAGAATTTTGAAAGGAAAAAAAATAGAGATATAAGTGCCATCTCAGAATTGCTTTTATTTTTACTGTTATATGTCTTCTTTGTAAAGGTGTAAATGATGTCATTAGATAGTCCTTTGTCCATCGCTCATGTGTGCCAAATATCTGGCTTGCTGAAGTTTCTGGAGTTTCTTCGAGAAAAGTGAAAAGAAAAAACTTATGTTCCGATCTAGTATCATATTGAGCAACTAAGTGGAATTTGGTTAATTTTATATACTAGTTGAAGAATGCGGCTGATTACCAAAGAAACACTTCCAAGTGTCAAAAGCCTCTAAGGGGTGGGGGAACGAAAGCCGCCAGGTCCAGCCGCCTCCGCGGACTGCTGGTCCTGCAACGACATGCAACAACGCTGCGAAAGGACCAGCTTGCCGCGAAAGGCGGCTGGACCTGGCGGCTTTCGTTCCCCCACCCGCCTCTAAGGCACCCGCCATACTTGATCCGTTTGATCCGCTTCATCATTGGTCAATTCAGTGAACTGACCAATAGTGAAGTGGATGAAGTGGATCAAGCGGACAACCGCTTCGCTATTGCTCAGTTCACTGAATCGACCAATGACGAAGCGGATTAAGCGGATCAAGTGGATTAAGCGATCAAGTGGGGGGGGGGTGCCTAACCTGTATTGTGCTCAGTGATCAAGGGAGGAACACAATTTGGGACCGGCCATACTAATTGTGATTCTTGCAATTCTTGCGATTCCTGATTCCTGCGGGTCACCGACAATGTACATTGCGAAAAATAATGTATACTCAACTTTGCAAAGCGCTCTGTAGTGCGGCACGTCGGAAATGGAGGAATCACAGAAACTGCAGGGATTACAGGAATCGCAGGAATCACCTCTTGAGATAGAATGGCCGGTCTCTTTCAGTTCCGAATACAGGTTACGATAAGAGGAATATTCAAGATTTCAAAATTTCAGTATGTTTATCGGGATTCGGCATAATTGTGTAATCAATTGGGAAAGAAGAACATCAAAGCATGCTAATATATGTACTTCGTTTTTGGGGCACCAACCGTATAAAGACATCTTCCTCCATTGTTTATTGGAACACTTACATAATCCCAGCACTGTTTTCAGAACATCAATTTTCCTGGTTTTTTAGTGCTATACGAGGAGATCGGTTAGCAATTGCAGGGACAAAGCCACGTCCGCAAGTTGTGGAAGAAAAAGAGGTAAGTCTGTGGGTTTGCATATTTTCCAGCATATCGCACATTTTAGGTAATTGAGGCGCCACATGCAAGGGAACTGGTAAACAGAACAACTCTGAGTCCACAAATCCAGCAGGCTTTGGACAAACTCTTGAGCAGTTCGTTTCCAATTTTTTGTGGTAGTTCACACCTGTCTTTCCTTCAATTAGTGTTTGCCTAAATTATTTTGTAAAACCAAAAAAATAATTGGTTCCTTACGCTCAGCAGCGGGTCAGTTAAAGGCAGTGTCTCGGCAGATCCGGGTCCTAGGGGATATATGTGTGGTGGGGTTCCTGGTACCCCACCGATCTCCAGGCGCAGTCCGGCTGGCTGATGCTCCCCCTGGGCCGAGAAAATGGCCCTTGAACCGGCGCGCGCAACCCCAATTGGCGCGCGCTCGGGCAGCTTTCCTTGTCTGTTCGACGCGGGACCCCACGAGCGACCCCACCCTCCTCCTTGTGCATCTTATCTAGAGCAAAAATTACAGGCAGGGTCTTCGTCTGAGGACCTCCCAACTTTTTATTAAAGGCAGCGTCCAGGCAGATCTGGACCTATGGGGCTTTTACGTGGAAAGTATTTTTGGTGCCCTAGCTAAGGCACTGCCCAAGCGGCAGCTGAGGTAGTGCTCTAATGGCTGAGATATTCCCCTCGAAACTGGCCCCCGCGAACGTATTCGCATGGATTCATGGCAGTTTCGCGCCAGGATCCACGCTTTGCGCCATGAATCCATGCGAAACACGGTCGCGGGGTCCAGTTTCGAGGGGGATATCTCATCCATTACAGCACTACTTGAGCTGCCGCTTGGGCAGTGCCTTAGTTAGGGCCCCAAAAGCACTTTCCACGTAAAAACCCCATAGGTCCAGATCAGCCTGGACGCTGCCTTTAAAAATCCGTCCGAGCTGCTTTTTTGGGATTAGTTAAACGCCCCAAAATCGGCCTTTCAGCCCGTTCAAAGTTGAAATTAGGGTTTTACGTGGCGAAAAGGCCTAAGACATGCAGAGAGGTGGAAGTGCAAAATCTGCCGGGACACTGCCTTTAAGCTGAACTTCTGTCCCTCTTTTTCCGGTTTTATGGAGATCAAGGAATGAGATTCGCAAGCTTTTTCCGAAATCGTCTTCGTGTTTTAGTGCAGTCTTTCCAAAAACCTGAATACGGAGAGCAGGGTGCTGCCGTTGCTGTGCCTGCGGAGAAAAAAGCCGAAAAAGACAAGAGATTTTTGGAAAATCAGTTCAACGTCGTGAGTAATAATTTTTGGTCAAGCTGCATTCTTGCGCATCACTTATTGTTCAAAGTTAGGAAAATGTGTTGCGCATGCAATCTCAGCATATCCTAATCCATCATTAGGTAGCAACTTTCAGATGGCTAGTGAGATGATATCTGTCAATCGTTCTCTGCCCGACTATCGTAACAACGAGTGAGTAGCTTCTGTTTCCGTTCTATTCGAATTCTGTATCTTGCTGTTGTAGATGTCAGGATCAAACCTACAGAACCGAAAATCTGCCAAAAACTTCTATCATTATTGTTTTCCATAATGAAGCATGGTCTACTCTTCTGCGAACTTTACATTCTGTTATTAATCGGTAAGTATTGCCTCGTAGCTTCGGATACAAACAGAAACTGCTTTCATAGCGAATTCGTTTCATTGCGTCTGAAAAAATTGGTGGGTATTTTTAGCGTGCATTTGTTTTCCTTTTTCATTGTAATAACAATTTTCGTAAAATAAGTTTGTTCTAAGGTTTTGATTTTGCTGTAGAATTAATTTTACGCATTACTTCGCGGCTGTAATCCAGTCTGTTATAACCCGGAGCGAGCAAACATTTGAGGTGGGGCGGCGGAGCTTCGCTGCAGGCTTTCGCCGCTTTTCTGGAGCTGAGAACCGACATGTTGCGATCGAAATCGAATAGCGGAAAGATTTACAGACGATTCTGAAACAGTTCCGTCGCTTAGGGCGCGGACCGGTCTGAGCGGACGCGTTCACCACAGTTTCGACGTTTCGGGTTGGAACAGACTGTAAACGCTATCTGCTGTGGCACCATCGTCTAGGGTAGCCCTTGCTTCTAATCAACTTCCCTTCAGGTCACCTCTTAATCTCCTAGAGGAAATTATCTTGATTGACGATTTGTCCGATCGTGACTATCTGAAAGAACCACTAGATGCCTACATAAAACGTTTCCCTGTGAGTATGATTTTGGATTATTACATGGTTTTAGTGTTGATGCTACAGATACCCATGCGGATTGTTCACCTAAAAAAGCGGAGCGGACTGATTAGAGCGCGATTAACAGGATCGGGAATGGCAAGGGGTCGCATTTTATTGTTTTTGGATGCTCACGTTGAGGTAATTTTTTCATCTATTTTTGCAGCTCGTTGAGCTGGTCATAATATAGTTGTTAGGCTTTCTTACTTCCAATAAACATTTGTGTGCTTGTTTAATTCGGCAAATAGGCAATGCTCTTTCGTTCTTGTTTTACTGCCCTCTACAATCGTTCAATTTCGATCCATTAGTTTTCTGAAAATAATTCGGAATCTCATTTTGAAAGCGTTCACAAGTTTTTACATATTTGAATATGCGCAGTGCGGCTTTGCATTGTCTTTCTTAGGCAAGCGCGTTATCAGCTTAGCGATTCACCCTCGTCGCTAGGTCAGATTATTGAATTTGACTAACAGTGAACTGGATGAATCGTAAGCGTTTGAGCATGGCGCCTGCCCGCCTTGGTAGCTCTTATCTAGCTGCTGTTCGACATCTTTATCGTCGCTTGTGTCCAGAGCCACTATTTTCAATAGTTTTCGAAATGTGGAGGGGTGTGTAGCCATCTTTTTTTTAATCATCTTGATGATGTTTTGAAAGCAATAATTTTGAATTTTTATTAGGCCCTGTTGTGCACATTCGCCTGAAGTCATACTACTATATGTGTTGCTTGTATCACTGTTACTTACAGTTGATTACCTCACAAATAGGGATACTAGCTTGCTTACCCGGCTCCGCTCGGCCCTGTCAAAAATACTGTAATAGTCCCATCCCTATCCCTGCACAGCCTTTCCCTGTGCCCACTTCTACACTTCATTTCCCGTTCCCTGTGTTATTTTCGAAATCGCCATGCCCACTTGCCCCTGCCAACTCCCAGCCCCGTAGGTGAACTCTGCGAAAAAAATCGAAAAAAAATCGATAAAATCGATATCGATCGATAACGAAAAGTAGCATATGACACGCTCCCCGCCCCGAAGTATATGTTGCCAAGTTTGGTCCAAATCGGTTCAGAAATAAAAATTCCTATTCCGCACATACGTACACACAGACATAAGACACACATTCAGCTTTATATATATAAGACTATATACTATTCTGTCTTTTGATTCTAGGTTACTCACGGTTGGCTAGAACCACTTGTTGATAGAGTCGTCGGTGACAGGAAACGCGTTGTTGCGCCAATCATTGATGTCATCTCAGGTAATCACTGAGTTCGCTGTTCCTTATTTAGTGATGATTGAGCACCTTAGATGACACCTTCGAATATGTCACTGCTTCCGAAACTACATGGGGAGGTTTCAACTGGCATCTTAATTTCCGCTGGTACCCCGTCGCCAAAAGGGAGATCAGTAGAAGAAGAGGACTTCGCGCTTCTCCCATTCAGTAATGCATTGTAATACTAATAACTTGTACTCAGTCTCTTCTTTAAGAACTCCCACCATTGCTGGAGGTCTTTTCGCAATTGATAAGCAGTTTTTCTATGACATAGGATCATATGATGAGGGGATGCAAGTTTGGGGAGGAGAAAATCTGGAGATATCGTTCAGGGTTAGTTAGTGGAAAACGTTCATACGCAATCACCTCCATCATGTAAGTGTATCGCTAGGTGTGGATGTGTGGCGGCTCATTAGAAATTCACCCTTGCTCTCGTGTTGGCCATGTCTTCCGTAAACAAACTCCATACACTTTCCCCGGTGGTACTGCGAAGGTATCATTTTATTTTTCTTGTTACCTTATCTTGCACATATACCAGACCCAGGCTGGCTTGTTATGTGATCAAGAAGATCTTGATCTTATCTAGGTCATTCATCACAATGCTGCACGTACTGCTGAAGTTTGGATGGATAAGTATAAGCAGTTCTTCTACAAAATGGTACCATGTAAGTTCTTTCCTGGATCTTTTCATGAGTGGTTGATAACTTGAAAAGGGTGTCTTGTAAATATCAGTGGTCCCCACTTACCTTATTTCATCCACGGACATTCTGCTTGCTTTTGGAGTGTGCAGATGACTCCAATATTTCTTGTGTCTCAAGGCTTATAATTCGATCCAATGTGCTGAAAATGTGCAATAAAGGTAGCAAATAGAAAGTTGCTCTGAAAAGATGCCGTCTGGTTAGGTTTATCGTAATACTCTCGGTACTCGCTCACTTCTTCCTCAGCCGTTGTGCTCCGAGCGTCTTGTAACTTCAGTCAGTATAAATAACCATACCGCGAGTCATGTATCATAGAGGTGTGAAGACAAACCACAGCAGATATTTTGAGGAGATTGAATATGTTATTTTGGTCAAAGCATCCTTTGTTCTCGTAAACTTTTTTTTGCCATGTTGAGTACACCTATCTCATTTGATTTAGCTGCACGTCATGTCGATCCTGGAGATCTTACTAGCAGACGACAGCTCCGTGCCGATCTACAATGCAAAGACTTTGAATGGTGAGCAATAATTTTTCCGAACTGGGCTGCCATTTTGGTGTATTCAAAATCATTTTCAGGTATCTAAGGAATATCTATCCAGAAGCACCGCTACCCTACGATTTCATTTCGTTGGGAGCAATCTCAAATCCGGTAAATATTTTTTCTGACTCATAACCAATTATCGCTGTTCTTCGAGGCTTCCCGCGGTTGTATCGATACGATGGCTAAGAAAGAGGGTCCAGTCGGTCTGGAAACGTGTCATGGAGAAGGCGGAAATCAGGTTTGTAAAGATGAATACTCGATTTATAGTTTTATCATCGGAATCGGTGTCTGCTTTCTTTGGCCATCAGTAGTTGATTGTTGCTTTTCTTGTAAGGAAGACTTGATGTGGGAAACATTGGAAGACGACAGTCAGGTAGTTTCTAAAAACCCTTTTCCATCATGAGTTGCATTTATATTACGCTGTATCCATCATAGCATTTTTCGTTTATTCCCCCCTCCCCTTGAGTTGATTCCCAGGTATTCTTCGGTATGAGGCCTAGACAAGCTTTTTCCGCCGACATACTTTCACATATTACCGAACTCAAGACTTCTTTCGCTACTCTCAAAAGAAAAGTCAATTTGTGGTCATTTAGGCTTGGGCTCTAACGGAAAGAGGTGAAGTTCGCTCGGATGATTTGTGCCTCTCTTCGGGTAACAAGTTTTCAATGGACAGTAAATTGCGGTTGGAAAAGTGTAATGCGGTGAAACCAAGTACGAAGCATATCTTCAAATATAATGTACAGGTATGGATTCAAATATGATTCTTTGTTCGGAAACATTTTCGAAATCTCTCTCATAATGCAAGCGAGAATGAGGGTCAAGCTTCTGATCAGATAATTGTGAAACCGCTTTCCTTACTAGTTCAACCACAGTAGTCGAAACTTTGCCAGTTCAGTCCCTCCACACCTTTATAAAGGTTTATTTGGGAACACATTTGTCAGAAAATGTCTATGAGTTATCGTTTATTGAATGAAGTTGGCTTGGCAAATTATCTGGAAAAAATGTGGATTAGTTATTTGTCTATGCGTGCGTCCAGTTGAATAAAAAATGCTTGATTTTTTCTGGAAACTGCTGTTTTTCTTTCGCAATCGCAAACTTCAGGGGAGTGCTTTAAAGTATAGTTGCGTCCTGGGATCAGTTAGTATTCTGATTGGCAACCATTTTTGTGTTATCTTGGAGTTTTTCCAAAAAATGATTTGACAATGTTTTCAGGATGGACGCCTCATTCACGTGAAGTCCGGTCAATGTGTTTCCGCTGCCACAAATGAAGTAGAGTTGAGAAATTGTGACAACACTCCTAGTCAACGTTGGTCTGTTGAAGGCTATATGCAATAGCACCGGTTTCTATCTGCTTATAATACAAAGGTTTGGGCATCTCATTTGTACACAATACGTAATTCTTTCAAGTTGTTTGCACTATTCTGCATTTGTTCCATGCCTTTCTCATCTCACACAAATGCGGTAAGAGAATACATTTTCATGCGTTCCAAATTCATCCAAAGGAGATTCTAGGATTTAATTGTTATTGTTTTTCTCTGGTCATTCCCTGCACTAAAAACTCAAGCTGATTTATTGTGTGCCTTTATAGCTTTGATTGATTATCTCTCATAATAATTTATGTATACATAATAAGTTCCTCTTGGTTGTGAATATCATGTGATACGTTGGGTTGTTTATCATGGGTATCGCAGGAATCATAATGTGATAAACTTTTGGATCTTTTCGAAGTTTTCTTGATCAGCGGTAAACGGCCAATCGATACTCAAAAAGCTGTCTTTGGCAAAATTGGAAGACGCTCGACATATGTATCGAATCACTGTTACTTTTTCTTTTGTCAAAAAGTCATGGTCCTTTGATAGGATAAATTGGTCCAACAAAATCGGAATTTGGGTTTAATTTTAGGGCAGAATGTCCTCGAGAACGCCGCGTCCTGTTTTATTTCTAGGAAGCAATTCTATTAACTTGGTTCAGAAAAGATCATCTTTTATACACAAGTGGAGTCGTTTTCAAAGATGGCAAGAGCTAGAGAAAGCAAGGGTGGGTTTATTTTTTGCTAGCCTCCGACAGGTTCAGAGCGGAACTGGTGAATATTTTTAGGGAGAGCATTTACGAGAACTAGCTCTACAGCGAAACTTCATAAAAACTCCCACAGGAATGTATCTAACGCCGGAAAGGCCGCAAGACGGTGAGGCAAAGAAATTTTTTTTGTGAATGAGAGGCGCTAATTACATGCTAAGATCTCTGAAATTCCTTCACAGCTTTTGCAGGCTTTGCCATTTTGAAGGCTGGGGAAAGATTAGACTACAAACAAAAGTGCATACTTGATTAGTTTTTAATCTGTCTAGCATATTCTGTTTTCCCAAAAAAGTCCTACTATCCTATTTTCAGGTGCATAAACCGCACCTTTTCGAATTTTCAAGCGAGCTGCTCAGCCACATCACGTGTTTCGGAAAGCGAACCTTATGCCGCATGATTCTTTTAGGCAGTATATAGCACGTTAGAGTCTTTTGGATGCGAAGTCCTTTGGCGTGTTTGGTTAGAAAAAAAAATCTGCGCTGCTCATACACTTGAAAATAGGGTGACAGATATATCCGCTCATAGATAAGTCTTTTTATCTCAGGGAGAAGCAGAATGCGTTCTCAAGGTGTCTAGAGGGAACTTATCTGTAGGGCGGACTTATCTGCTCAAGGTTATCTTCAGACGATTTATCTGCGAAAAGGCTTATATGCCAATTTTTAAGGTATTTGTGCTGACTAATTTTTGTGAACGTTTTCGATGGTCACCTCCGCTTACCATTGTTTCTGGGGGTTTGTACCGTTTTGCAGCATGGGAAAAATGTAGATACGTTGTGTTAATTTTTGGGATACACTTTGACAGTATTTAGAAGCAGTGGCTTGGCAAAATGGATGCTACCCAGATGGTAATCTTATATATTAGGTCGTTTCAAAAGTAATTTCGCTTTTTTCAAACGGGCACCACATGTGACGGAACAAAGGTTTCTAAGGGATCTTGGAGGCATTCGATGCAGAATTTCATTCTCTTTCGAATGGTTATGGAATTGTTGCAATATATGCAACGATCTTTCAGAAAATAACCAAAATCTGCAACCTATGCTTTTTGAGATGGTCAAGTTTCACAATTTTTAAACTTTCATATCAATTTTCAGAAGGAGTTCAAGTAACGATTCGATAGAGAAAACCTTATAGAATACAGTACTATTTTTTGCTCCTTTCCATGCTTGTTATACAATTTTAACAGAGTTTTCACTAATGCTACCGATTTCCATACTTGGGCAGTTAAATCCTCGTAGAACATCAAAAGAAGAGCAGCTCGCACACTAGTCGATGCAGCATTTTCTCCTCTTTCTAACAAGCGTTTTTGTTTCCGATTCATTTAGTTTTCGGGGAGAAACCATCATAACTCATTTTTTTAGCGAGCTCCAGGCTGTGCCCGAAAAATTCGAAATTTGATATCTCGAACCCGTAAACCCTCACTTGCTTTGTAAAATTAATGCTAGCTCATAGTACCATCTTGGTAGTCTCAAATTCTGAAAAATTATGACGTTTGATGCGATTGTGGCTGAGGCGGGCCTGCCAAAATCCGATGGTTCTGTTAAAAAATCTTTTAAAGAATTACGGCGAGCTATGAGAAAGAGAAAAAAATAGTACTAGACAGTACTATTACAATAGTACAGTAAAATAGTATTCTACAAGGTTTACCCTATATCCTCACTTAAACTCCTTCTGAGGATTGATATGAAAGTATTAAAAAATTGGGAAACTTGACCATCTCAAAAAGCATGGGCCGCAGATTTTTTGGTTATTTTCTGAAAGCTCATTGACTGTTTTGCAAAAATTTTATAACCGTTAGAAAGAAAATGAAATTCTGCAACGAATGCTTCCAAGATCTCTTGGAAACCTTTGTTCCGTCAAATGTGGTGCCCGTTTGAAAAAAGCGAAATTACTTTTGAAACGACCTAATATAAAGCTGAATGTCTGTTTGTCTGTATGTATGTCTGTACGTATGTGCGGAATAGAAATTTTTATTTTTGAACCGATTTGGACAAAACTTGGCACACATATACTTCGAGGTCGGGAGCGTGTCATAGGCTACTTTTCGTTATCGATCGATATCGATTTTATCGATTTTTTTACAAAATTTGAGCTACGGGGCTGGGAGTTGGCACAGGGGGGTAATCGAGCATGCTGATTACAAATATGTTATTGACAGGGCCGGGCGGAGCCGGGTTTGCCAACTAGTAGGTACTAGACCCTCCAAGTATCCAAGACCCTCCGCCCTAATTCACATTCTAATCATTGCATTAAATTATGAAAAAGTGCTTCGAAGTCACACCAGTCAAGCCAAACATCAAATGATAAACAGACACTGCAGATTCATTCCTAAAGTTTCTGATTGTTATTCTTTTCGTAGAGCGTGGGGGCTCCTCTTGCAATGTATTTACTTTCAGTTTTGCCTAAGAAAGATCGAGCTGACATGACACGTCAGGATACTGGAGCCCTTCCCATAGATCTGCTCACGGCTCACACGCAAATGCGATATGTTGACCATAGTTTTGATAACATCCGGCGGTATAAGCGATATCAACACTTCCAGCACTTGCAATATGACCAAAGGTAAGGTTAAATGTGTCGATTCAGTATAGAGATACTATGTTCTCTTTCTAGAATGATCCCAGAGCGGCTATTGTTTCTTGGGCCTGATCTTGCCGCTGCGCATTTTCTTGTACACAGGGGTGCTTCTGTAAAATTTCTTGGCGATGACGCTTGGTACAGGAAAGACAAAAATGGTGTAGGCTCATCTTAGCCAATTTTGTTACGAAGATTCTACATTTTTCTTTCAGAACTACAAGCTTCCGGGTCGTAAAATCCCCGGTCTCTATATAGAAGCCATCGATGCGTCGGGAACAGAACTTATGTTCGAAGGTACATATTCTATTTTTAAGTCACTTGCATAGTTCCTTCATAGTTTCTTGTACCTGTTGCAGGACTGGAAAACCTCCAGAACCTGAAGAATTTGAGAATGTTACGGCTTGCTGACTGCCCGTATGTTGACGACTGGACGCTGTCACGAATTGGAGGAATGATGGAGAATCTGGAAATGCTTGATCTAAGCGGGTGCCATCGCATATCAGCGAAAGGTTCGTTGGAGCAGTTTGAAATCAGTGAAGTATCAGATTCTTACCTATTTAGGACTGATGGGCTTGAAAATGCTAAAATCCTTGAAGTATCTGCGTTTGGAAGGGGTCGAAACAAAGGTTTTTATCTTGTTCTGTTGTCTTTTTCTTCTTGTTTTATTTTGTAAAATAGCCTTTAAGAATTGTCAGGCATCAGTCGCATGTCGAACTTTTCTAGAATCTCGGAAAGGCTGCGCTATTGCTAGAAGATGCCATTCCCCCTCTCAAAGTTCTTGGAGTTGATTACGAACATGAGCTGGAAATGCTTGAGGCGGATATTCGATTACTACAAAATCCTAGCGTGATTGAAGATGCCAAGGGTAAAAATCAGCTTACCTTCCAAAATTTCCTGTTGCATGCACCTTTTTCCATTTAAGGTAACATGTTTGCGGAAGATGAGAATGGTAGGCTCTTCTACATCAATGGAAATGTAAATGAACGTCCGGTTGTTGATGATAATGATAAGCCGATAGTGACGAGTACAATTCGTAGGTGAGTATGTTTGAAGCTTTGCACTTCATAAGTCGTAATTTTGCAGAGAAATTCCTGCCATGAGTGACGAAGAATTCGACAAGATTGACAGATTATCTGGAGGAAAACTGCGTCATCTTCTTTTGGGTTCACCGAGTGGTTATGAATGGAACTCGCAGGTATGTGTTATTTTGTCACTTGCGCAAGATGAGCCATAAATTTATCTGCTAACGACATCACTACTACTCTTCGTTGAGTAGGGTACAACAGAGTAGGATAGGTAGGTCATGGATAAAAAGGAAACCAGAATTATTTGCATTCAGCGCAAGTTGAACGTTAACTTATTTGAAGCCACTTTTCACAAGTGAGAGTGATGAAGTTTCAGTGCTGTACAATAGCTGGGCTCCTAGCAGTGCCAAATTCTCATTGCAAAAAATGATTTTTGAAGCGAGGAAATCCTGCAGGAAGTAGAAGCGACAATGGTGGTCCCGTTCATCAGAATGAGTGGTTTGAAGATGGTGAGTCCATGAATGGGCTTCAGACAGGAATGTCGAAGATCTGATAATCTCAAAATAATGCGGGATTATGATAATTGCACTGAAGCACAGTTTTGGATCTGTTATCTTCAGAACAACCACGTTGATGGGCGGAGCTATTATCTCCGCTTCTACTTTTTGGAGCAATTTTTCTTTTTGCGGAATTCATCTTTCGCAACGGAACCTGATCACTTAGGGACTCCGCTATTGCGTACAGCATCAAAACCTCTTCAACCACATTTGAATGGACGTTATGGACAGCCTTGCCATCTGTCTGCATGCAAAAATTCTACCGTAAGATTACCGTAGCACTGCAAGTCGTAACGAATAAAAATTGTGTCGTATTTGTATAATTGGCTCAAGGAACGACGTCAAGTTATAAGTTTCCACAAAAATCCTCTGTCTTGGTTTATATCTGACCACCGTAAAGAATGCTGAGACTCTCTCAGTCTCTTATACATAATCCCCTTGAGAGAGTTTTTGCGCTGACGTGTATGCATGCTTTTCGCACTGACCTCATTTGCTCGCTTGTGCAGCGTAATGTACATAAACATCGTCCGTGTTAGTTTTTGGATAGCGCGAAAAGTTTTTACAATGGACATTGCAATTTATGAGAAGCTCGTATTTGCACTAGCGCAACTAAAATTGTGTAGTGAAACCTGGTTCGCAATTCTTCTTAGCCGCTATCTGTGAGCACGCATTGGTGATTTTTATCAAGGCTAATACGTTCATGTAGCATCCACCCGTTATTTCGTAAACTGCAGCCATAGCTTCCAGGTTGCTTCAAGGCGGTGTTCAGCCGAAAATGGGGTGTCTGAGTTCAAAGACGTCCGATAGCAATGTCTTTCGTCATCTCTCATCCTAACCTATTTAATCCCATGAAAATGAAAACGCGTGAGGAAAATGCTAGCAGAGTTCCGACCCCTTTTTCTCTCTCCCTCCATCCTTATCTCCATTTGCCCATTCACCGGTTATCTGAGCGAGGGAGTTGTAGGTTCGTGGAAGCTTAGTGAGCGGTTCGAACACGCGCTTACCTTTATGGCAGTGGCGGCCCGAGAGTTTCGGGTCAGGGGCAGGGGAGGTGCAGAAAAATTTTTCAAGTAAAGCTGGATAGCATTAGCCACGCACTCCTTTTTTTAGGATGCTCCTGAAATTTTACGAGCCGATGACCCCAAAATTCTTTTGAGGCTAGGATTTAATTTTGGAAAAATTTGAGTTTACAAGTGTGAACAAGTCACTTGGACATTTTTATAACCCTCTAAGTGACTCTCAAGAATTTCGCGACCCATTCTTGCCTTCCCTCCCCCCCCCCCCCCCCGCCCCCTTCTCGTACGCCACTGTCAGGCAGTGGCGGTTATAGGTGGAACCCAGTGGCGGTCCCAGGATTTCGGACCGGGGGGGGGGGCGGCCCCCAAAGCTTCAGCTATGCCCCCGAAAAAAATTTTTTTACAAGGCTAATTTGAATTTTTTTGAAAATCTTTAAAAATTATTTAATTATTTGCAAAAATAAACAACATGTGAGTAAATTTCAAAAATTTCGCGACCCATTCTCGGGGGGGGGGGGCGTCCCCCCCCCTCGGTCCGCCACTGGAGGAACCGAATATTCGTACGAATATTTTATTCGAAATATTCGACTATTCAAATCTTCGAATAGTCGAATATTCGAGTAAGTCCGATTATTCGGTTATTCGAATAGTCGAATAAATGAAGATCTTTATCTGAATAATTCTTTCATTCGACGATTCGGAAAAATAACTTATTCGAATGTTCGAATAATCAAAAGACAGTTATTCGAATATTCGGTTATTTGAGAAGTTTTGAATACAGTTGTTTGAATATTTGAATATTCGACTGTTGCGCTTGAATATTCGAATATTGCATTCGAATATTCGATGATATCCTTTTATTAGTTTGTTCGAATAGTCGAATATTCGATCAAGTTTGGTTATTCGAATATTCGAAAATTCGAATTTTGGAATGTGCCCTGTTTGAGTATTCGAATCAAAATCATGTAAAAACCGGAAATCGAATAATATTCGTTTATTCGAAAAATTTTGTAAAATGAATTATTCGATATTTATTCGTTGAAATTTTTCAATAAATCAGTCATTCGATATTCGTTCATTCGATGAAAATCTCCGTTAGTTACAACTATAGTGGGGGTGGGGGAGGAATCAGTTTTTTAAATGGAGGTGAATGGCCGTCATTTCTGAGATGCTCTTCGAAAACGTCAGCCATTGGAATTCTGGGATACTTCCCGAGGACTTTTAACCCGGAATTTTCAAAATTGCGGGCGTGGCTGTAAGTAAAACAAGTCAATCACAGTCTCACCACTCATGTGACTGTTTTGCCACTCCTTCCGTTGCTGGGTATGTGTTAGACGCTATCTCCAAAAAGCGAATTCCCAAAACGGTTTTTTCAAATAAGGCTTGAGAAGAGAACCTTCTGTTGTTATCAAATTTGCTGGAAACAGTTACCTGCACATGATTTTCCGCATGAGCGAGCCAAGATGGTACAATTCCAGTTATGCTCGATATTTTTTGCAATTTTTTCTCATTTCTTACATTTTAACTCTCAATTTCTGTAATGTTTTTCACCAAATGTATGAAAGACAGGCCTGCAGTAGACTTACACAGAAAGTAGAAAAACTTTCATGCAGATATGATTGCTTATCTGAAGTCTTCGAATTATTCATCGCTCTTTGGGTGAAATGCTAGTTCCAAGTGCGTAATTACGCCCTCACTCTTGTCTAGACGAAAATTTGGCAAGATCGGCAAAATGTCTCTGCGACAGGATCTTCGACTTCACCTTCATTCAATATTTCATTGCAAGAATTACCTATCGCGCAGTTGTTTCTCTAGTTTGATTATATCATATCACCGCCTGCGGAAATCACACTTTTTTTAGATTAAAAGAATATAATTAGTATGACTTGTAGTCGCCACCGCAATCCGCATCTGATGCGTACTCGTTATCTGGAGTGATGACGGATATCACGCCAAAGAATTGTCTAACTTGAAAGTGAAATTATAAAAAGGTAGAACTAGGACGGGAGAACGTTACCACATTTTGAACCTTGCCCAACTTTTTGAATCGGACATCCCAAGTCGCAAACGGAAGCTGATTGTGATTTGTTTTTTCTAATAGATCTCACCAAACTCTTTTTAGTATTACAGTAATTAATTTAGCATGTGTCGAGCATGTGTCGTAGCTACTTTTATCCATCACCTGGCTACTCTTCTATAATATAAGTCACTAAGTCGATCAATTCTATCTTTCATACTATAATGCCAGAACCGGTAAAGTGGATGCAGAAAGAGAACTATAGGATATGTTCTACCAACTTAAAGGCACCACGTTCCACCCAAAAGTGATGGGGGTAGATTCCTGATGCCGTATAATAGCTGGATCTCTGAATTAGTAACTAAGTCAATCCAGCTGCAGAGGGTAGATTTAGAAGCGAGGAAATTGCTTCAAAAGGTTGAAGCACGTTGGTGTCCCCGAATCTGGTGATCGTAATGAATAGCGGATTTTTGACAGTTTTATATTGTAGCCCAATTCTCGACTAGTCACCTTTCGCCCAGCAACGTTGATGGACGAAGTCATCAGTCCCGCTTCACCTCCAAACTGATTTTGGATGGGAACCCAAAAAATCAAACTGGAAATTTATTTAGAGGCCGCTATAAAACTGTTGGTATAGTTCATTTCTAAAATTGTAACGGCGAATTTTACTGCAGACTTTCCGTTCACAGGAACATAAAACGCTCATACAAGAACGCATCACCTCAAAGTTCAGCTCAGTCACTTCCAGTGTTTAAATTAATCCTACGTAAACAAAAAAAAACCCCCATTCGACTAGAGACGAAAGCAAGAAAATGCTATTTCCGGAAGTGGCAAGCGTGTCGCGTGCGGTCGCGTTAGCACGATTTTTAGGTACGTCACCCTCGAAATGGGTGAACGGTGCTTTACGTATTAGTCTAGTTGTTTTCGTAAACAGCATATCACCCTGTTAATTTTGTCAGCATTAACATTTCTTATAGGTGGAGACTATACTTCAGTTTGAAGCTGACTATAACGAAAAACGAGGAATTCCTACCAATACGAAAATGCTGCCGAAAGAAAAGAGGGAGAAGGTATGCAGGTTTTCCAGATTTTCATCGCAGCCACTTTCCTGGGTAAGCACCATTCCTGTTCAGTTCCCAGACAAGGAGAAACCCAGTCTTCTCGAGGCCGAACGACTTAAGTTTTTGAGTGAAGAGAATGAAGAGTGGAAACAGCTGGAAAGGAAGTTGCTGACAGATAAAGATCATGCCGCTGAAATGCAGAAACTGGCCAGCGATGAGGAACCGAAACAGAAAGCCCAGAAAGGGGGCGTTAGTTGATGTTCTTAGGGTTCGGCCCTTTCTGTGATTCCTGTTATTACCGTAATCACAGCAATTTTTTATGTCTATGGAGCACGGAAACTACCGTATAAGAGTAATAATGAATACAGAATAACGAAATAGTGAGTGTCCACTTGTTATCGGAACGGCCGTTTTGCACAACAGTATCTAACAACCACTTGCATGGTTTGTTTTGACTTGTCTTGTTGCGCACGCGGCAGAACTTCCCTTTCCCTCTGTTTGCTCAGGTAGAAGCCGCCGGGGGCGTGTCGCGAGCGAATGTGCGAAACGGCCAGCAGCCCGTAATCGGAGTTCTGTACTGTAAAGATGATAGTTTTTGCGCTTCAAGAATAGCGGGATTACAGAAGTGACGGGAATCACAGAATAGTATGGCCGAACCCCAAGGTGCTAGTCATCGTGTAGTTTTACTTAGTTTTCAGTGTATAGTCTATTCGATTCAATAAATGGCTAGGAGATCTATCTAGCGTCGCAGAAGAACAGTGGCGATTGCGCATTGATGGTCAGTCGTGCGGGTCGTGATGTGCACGGGGAACGGGACACGGGGGTCGCCACGCAGCGCATTTTGCATTCAAACGTACACCAGTTGCTCGTGCTGTGTCGCGTCTGCGTCTCGGACCTCGTTTTTTTCTTCGCTGGCGTTCGCCTAGCACCAGCTCAGCCGGGAAACATGCAAATATTAGTCGCATACTTACTCGCATTGGCGAAAAAGTTATGAGTGTTCTCAGCTTTGAGATTGTCGACCTCATTTCTTTGATAAAAGAGTAGTTTTTTGTGCTGCGAAAATCTAGGGTAATTATTCGGCGGCTCCATTGTCCTTTGCAAATTGCTACAGCGTTAGATGACACTGTGAACGTGTTTGTTTTGTGTAGTTGCAGACATCTAATCTCATCAACCTCGGTTTCTCGGATTTCTTATGGAAGCTAATTGAGTAAAAAGGAAAATTTGCGGTGCAATGTTGAGTCGTTCTTCTGTCTTCAGTGTTATCAATTTTTTCTCAGTCCAATTTCCTCTCATTTTAATTCTATCATCTGACAAGATCATCTCCTTGGAACTTTTCGAAAAGATTTCTCTAAGAATAGAATTTATTCTTGTGGAAGGCATTCAGCGGATTAATTATAGAAGACCAATTGTCTTTGTTGACCAAAACGATTGTTGGTTGCTCGCATTTTTGCTTTCAAAAGGCCACTACGAGGAAAGGAAGCTAGCACTGGCCAAATTAGTCAACTTTTCTCGTGCTTGGAACCTTTTTTCTGTTCTCGCATTCGCTATGCGATCTTGTGTGCGTTTGGTTACATAGAGAGGATTGAGTCATAATGTTGCTGTTTTTAAAATCTATGCTAATAATCACTACAATGCTTTCAATAGGATGACTGCTAACGTTCTGCGAGTCCATGTTTCCAGTTCTCTCAAATTGATTCTTGCGGTTATTTTTATAAATTATTCTTGTTCTGAATGTTTTCTTTAGTGATGTTCGCACTGTTTTTTCCCCAAAAAGCGCATGGTTAAAAAAGGGGAAACTGCTTTGGATTTAATGCAGTAGGAAAAGTCCTGTTCAGAGTTTGAAGAGGGAAACTGAATGCTATTTTGCACATAACCTATGACATCTCTTTTCCTTGCAGATCATTTTTTCATGTGTGTAACAATGATAAAAATTTCTGATGTCTGGAAGAAGGATTGCGGAACTCCGTTTTGTTCCTGCCCTGGAAACATTTGCAGGCCTTCCACGGAACTCCTCAGTAAGGAAAGAGGGTCTGCCAAGTTTGTTGTGTTGAGTACTTAGCAGTAAGTTTAATATGGATTAGAAATTTTGTATGAAGTTTAATATCTTGGAAAAATCATTGTTTTTTGGATATAGATTTTCTTAAAATATCATAATTATCTCCCTCACCTTATTTTGATGGTAATGAGAAAACACTGTAGATTATCTTCGATTTGTATAATTCTTGTAAACGCAAGTACAACCTTTATTGGAGTTTGAGCTGCTTAGAATGAAGTGTACTACTGTTAACTCATCCTTTTACCATATAAGCTGGAGTTCTGGGAGATTCCAGCAAATTCGTAAAGGCATTTCATGAATTGTATAAGATATCACAACTCCTGAAAGACTCCGTCATATAAAGAAATAGATCGAATAATTTGCAATATTAAGCAGGATTTCTGAGGATTGCTCATACTGCATATGTATGTTGGTGGAAATAAAGGTCTTTTTGTCCCCTGCGTTTATAGGTGCTTTCCGGGAAAATGCTAACAAAAAGCGTTCCGTTCTCTGTCAGAAATCCTATCGATTCTTTCGAGAGTTAATGTTACAGCTGACCTTCAAAAGAACAGCACTGGCATGTCGCCAGCACGGCTATGAACGGCATGCTGGGCCAATTGCCTGTTTTTGTTCAGCTCCAGCCGCATTAGCCTTCATGACCACTTCAAATCGAGCATGCCCTATGAAAAGGGTCTATGGCTGCCCATTCCACCTGAAAATGCTCCCAATTCTCTGCGTCTTATCAAAATCATTACATTATGAGAGTGTAACATCATTTCTTCGTTGATTTTTTCTGTAATTGCTCGTACACTTTATTTTCTTCTCAATTTCTCAACGTGCACGCATCCTTGGCTCCAACCTGGCCTAATTCGTGCTTCAACCCTCCAATTAACCTTTGTTGGTGTGCGAACCACCTGTGCAAACAGACAGTTGGTCAGTTTCGACTGCAAATGTCATTTGCGAAAGAAATTAGCAGCGTTCACGTCATTCACTGCCGCTTTATTGATACAAGAGCTGAAGAAATTCTTGCTAATGTCACTCATTTCTCTCCAAGAATCGCTGCTTGTCCGATTGTCTAAATCGGGACTGTACTTGCCAAACAGTGTTTACTCCGAGAAAAGCAGACTTGACCATAAACATAAACTGTTTAGAACTAAGATAATATGGATTTTGGATCTATTAGATAAGCTGCAAAGTTCCTTTGGAGGCGTTGCCAGACATAATCTCCTACATGACTCTGTTGGAGAAGAAGCCCGAGTGAATAAATTTCCGAACTTTTTTCATTCTTTTGTTCTTCTTTCGTATACCTTATTGTCCTTCCAATCTGCTTTCTTCCTCTGGAAAATAGCCAGCAAAACTTGCGCCTTGGCTCGCTATCCCTAAAGAAGGGAATTTAATGCCGATCGACTCAAAAATCCTAACAGTCGACAAAAATGTTTCTTGCTTAAATTTTTTTCATCCAGCCTCTCCATAGCATACAACTCATTCTATTTTTCGGTCATGTTGTGTTATTGAACCAAATTTGAAAGTGGCGTAAAGTAGGCCGGTGAGGATCACCACAATGATTATGGAACAGTACAGAAAACGAAAACTTATACGAAATTATTTGCAGTAAGTGGAAGGGACGTTTCGTTTTGAACCAATCAAAAAGTAGTGTAATTGCAGAAAGCTACCGTGAAATGAGAGTACGGGTGAACGTAGTATGTAATTTCTGCTTTGCAGTGTTACATATAGTTTACTAATCAGTCGCCAACCTTATGATTGAAGTGGTCATAAATGCGTGCTTCAAAAGCTTTTTCAGTATATTTTTCTTATTCCACTTTTACAGCATCGAGTTGTTTGCAAAAAATAGCAGACGGTGCCAATGACCTTGAAACGAGCAGTGCAATTCTTTATTTATTGATGCTTTAAAGTGTGCGCATGAACATTTACGCGCAATTGAGGTTAGCAGTGCATGTGCATTATATTACTATATCCAAACCTACCTGGACACGCGATTATACGGTTTGTGGACGACAATAAAGTGGAATCCGCGCTCAGCTACGATATAATAAAAGCCGTAAAAGGATCCTGTCTATGAAGTCGAGGAAATGGGGCATGTCGAGCTGCTATCAAGCGCTGGGGCCAATGTGTCCGCCTTCTGAATCAGCAGATTCGTAACGCCTGTGAATTTCACTGCAGTGTCGGGGCACATAGGGCCGCAAACCTGTCCCGGGCATCCTTTGGTGTGGAAAGGAATTCGGCCGACTTCTTTTTTGAACTTCTTTGTTACGCTTATCCTCCTCTCGCTGTGACTGAGTAATTGTCGTGGTGTGTGTACACCTCCACCGGTTCCATGCCGACGCGAACGCTGTTGAATGAGTCATTCACTGAGAGTTACTCCTCTCTACTTCCTGTTTCTCTTTTCCACTTCTGTCATTGATTTCATCTCATCATTGTCCTTGACACAACCCCAGACGACTGCTCACAAATCATTGAATCTTTGGCGGCTCCATCAAAGCTTTTTGACGCTATTAGAATTGCTTTTGCAATAGAAAATATTTTCGTTTTTATGTTTGATTATTTATTCTTCTGGTTAGTAATCACAAACACAGCGTAAATGATGTGCCTTATAGTGATAGTAAACGGAATGAGAGTGAATAGTAATGTGGGCTGGGAGAAAAAAAGGAGAAGAGTTTGATTTTGAACTCATTTTGCTCCGTATCCAGGTAATAATTAAGGAATTGAATTTATACGTAATTATCTCAATTTGAATCTTATACACTCTTCATGTAGTGCAATTTATTTTAGCCCTCCTTCATAATTCAATACATGCACCTAAATTGCACTGAGTAGGAAAGAAGGTCCTTATGAGAATTTAGGAACAAATATATCAATACTGACATTATTTTTATTTTCGTTCTGCAGAAATCGTGATCGTAGGGTTGAATAACTCGTTATATCAAATTTAGAACTTTTTCTTTTTGCTACTTTTCTTATTGAAACTGGTATGCAGAGAAAGTATTGGTTACAGGTTGTCCTCATCACAGCCGCTATGTTGGTGCAAATTCAATGCTTCCTTAATCTGAAGCGATAGAAGAGATATAAAAATGTACAAAATACATCATTCAGTTGAGCAAAGCAAGCACTACAAGACAATTTTGAAGTTCGTGAAGTTGCGGAAAAAACTAGCAAATTTTAAATACCCAAAAATCAGATTCACGTGAGAAGAGCCTGCATACTTTCGACTTGGTCAAACATATACTATTTACAAAAAATATTAAAATGTAAACTTGCCGTATTTTTTCTCATTTGGATATTAAGAAGTAAAAGTAGGCCAAAATTTTTTGAAATATGGCCTTTATTTTGCATTTGATGATTCTTGATAACTAGCACTCGAAGAAGACTGGATTTATTGGCTTCCAAATTCTTGTAGTATGGAATTATTTATGTCGGGGCAATCCAGCATGATTTTGCTAGAACATACCAAATTTTATTTTCTTAACATTTAGCGATGGAAATATACAGCAAGTGTACATATGCACAGCTAATGCGACGAGTAATTTTCTCATTAGCCATGCAAGATGGAAATTTGTAGTTTTCTGAACACAGATATGATTTTGGGCATTCAAAGATTTTTTCCGTGTATCAAATTTTTGAGTTTGTTTGAGCAACATCTTGTAAGGCTTGCTTTATCGAATGCTATGTTTCGTAGGTTTTATTACCTTTTCTGCCGCTCAAGGATAAGTAACATGCATCAATTATGCATCAATCCAACACTTTGTGTGATTGCACAAGTTTTTGTAATTGCGCTGCTAAGCCGATGGCTTCAAATTCCGGCTTTTTTTACTTCGTAAATCGCTACGAGATTTTCCTTGTCCCATAAATTCAATACGATCTGTAAAGTGATAGCTCTAGCTCTACTGCTACTGGCCTGCACAAAAGCGGCGCAATCACACTAAGGGACTACTAAAATGGAGATGATATATTAGATTTCATGGTAGCATTCACTTTCATGCAAAATTGTTTCAGTCCAGCAGTGTATCATAGCTTTCTCTGGTTATTTTCATCATCTCGACTTTCATTCTTCCTTGCTTGGTAAGAATGAAAGATTCTGTCTAACTAAAAATAGAATGGATTTTTTGCGTCTTCCTTCTTACGAGGGAAGAATACTTGGTGACCGTGGCCTTTTGCAATGGATGTATACCAATAGGTACGTCTTGGAACGCTGATTCTAAATCTGTGTTAACTATCTGCTGTGCGACTCCCTGAACGAAGTTATGGACTTTTTTCCATATTGATTTTGCGAGATTTAGGCAGTCACGTTAATATTCATGCTTTTTAGATTCTGATGTATCGGTGACAGTTTTCCTGAGCTTAACGTGAAGCTTTACTTTATCTGTACGCTCTTCTGTAGTGCGTAAGCGAGCATTCTAACGATATTGATGAATCTTGCATTAAAAACAGTGCAAATTTTGGTGACAAGAAATGTTCACAACTTCTTTCGGAAGAGCGCACAGCAGATAATGAAAGCAGATTTGGAATCAGCGCTTCAAGATGCATTCAATGCTATACGTTTCATTTCAGAAGGCCATGGTCACCAAGTTCCTTTCCTTGTTGGTAGCACTTTAGTCAGATTTGGTTTTTAGTTTAACACATTGACGACCATGCAGATTTTTAGTTGTCTGCCTTCTGGGACTAAGGCCCTTTACGGACCAGCCCACATTTTTCAACTATAATTACGCATACTGCCATCTACAGTACACCGACAATAGATCTGAAAGGCTTACAAAAATGACAGAAGTCATCCTCAGATTCGGTGCAAAAGAAAGCTCGTGGAGTGAGTTTATACCAGGATAGTAGCCATTTTAACAAAATCCAAGGCTTGACACGCATGGTGTGTCAAGCGGTCCCACGCGGTAGTCATTTCCTGGCATGTGTGTCAAGCGGTCGTCGATGTCTTAAAAAATTTGATTGTCGAAAAAATTTCAATTTTTTGATATTAAGTGCAATTTTGATTATAATTTATTTTGTTTTTTCGACCCTTTCAGTGTAAATGAGGAATTCCAAAATGCTTGATTTTCTATGACTGTGAGACTTTTGCAACCTAATGCAAATGCAAAAAAAGGCTCCAATTTTCAACCTACTTTATAACTTTTCTGTTTCAAGTGGCAAAAGTACGATAGATTGTTTAACAGAAAAAAAACTTTTTTGTACCTCATCTTTGAGTATCAATGCGAAAAAGAAACTGGGAGAATCTTCTGTTTTTCTGTTTTCTCCTAGAGGATCGAATGCATCCAGTTTTCCCCCCAAGAAATAGTGAAAGCAAACCCTTCAGTTCAAGAAAAAGCTTCCGTCATCTGCAAATTGTAATTCGCATTAATCTCACTTGTCACAAATGCTATTCTCATTCGCACAAGTGGTAGCTGTGAATGTGGCATTTAGTGGCGAAAATGCAATCTCGGCCGATATTTTGCAGCGCGCAAGTGCTTCTTACAACTCGTACACTTGGTCCTGTTTCCGAACACATCGCTCGTTCGCTTTTGTTGCTTCGACGAAATCAGTTTGCGGATCTATGTTTCTACGAGCACATGCTAATCATTCCACCCCATCACACACTTCGATTCCGGCGCCAGATCGTAACGTAGCCGTTCTTTTCTTCAATTACATCCATGAATTGCTTATAATTATTGGCTTATTAGCCTTAGATTCGAAAGGAGTGCTTGCGAAAAACTCTGCCTTCAATTTGATTCCATATCTGCATTAGTGCGCTAACCTTGTAACTTTGCAACTTCTTTTCCGACATATTTTTTTTGAAAAGAAATTGGGTAAGTGGTTCACTCGACTGCAATAAAAAGAAAATATAATCTATGCCTGTGCAAATGCATTTCCCACTTGTATACTCGATTGTTGCTATAAAAGAAAGAAATCTAATGGGTACCTGTTTGCAGATGCAAAGTCATATACTCAGGTCTTTTTATCTCGAGAAGCGGTTGCCAGTCTAGTTATCATCAAGAATTGCGCGAAACTCTTCTTTTGTGCAAAAAATGCTTGCTAGCAAATCAGTAATAAAAGCTGGAATTAAGGGCTATTTAATAAGTTGTGACAAATTTGACATAGATTTTGGTTCTTCTTTTCAGCTGAAAATCAAATTTATAACAGCTCTCTTGACCATCTCCCTGTGAAGAATGACCGATACAAAATTTTTCTTCATCTCATCAATGTTTTTTCCACTTGCTAGCTATGTCTGTTCAGGAATTTATATATTTTTTGCACTGTTTTGGCACGAATTATTCTTCCAAGCAGAATTTTCCTCAAATGAAAGTGTGCCAAAGCAATGTTGATGTGTTCTACACCTTAAAAAAATTTAAAAAAGCACATTATTATACACGGTATATAGTAAAATATAGTACAGTGTAAAAGTGCACGATGTAACTTCCTCCTTCCTCTTACACTCGCTAAAGCAGAATATCGAGATTCGGACGTAAACAAGGCCGCCTCCATTTGTGGCCTAAAAACTTTTTTTTGGAGAAGGCGATCGCCGTTTCTCTTGACACTGTATACACTTAGAAGTGGGGCAAAGCGGAAACTACTTGCTGTTATAGGGCAGGCTTTTTTTTCAATTTTGAGGCAAAAAAATCGGGATTGGGAATAATACAACTAATGATGATTTGTTGTTATGTGAATAGAATTTAGATATTCAGAAGAAATGACTACCTGCAAAGTTTCAAATGTCTAATAGTTGGTCTTTATTAGAGCACGTGAATTTGGGTTAAATTAGCTAGAATCAGGGCTCGGCACGAGCTGGCACCAGGGAAATTTCGAAACGAAGTCCCGTTTGGTCTTGTAAATTTCGTACGAAGTCTCCTTTGACCAGTCTTGAAGACAAGTCATTAATTTTGCATTCTGTAAAAGTATGTAGTAGGGTTTTCATGCATGCTGATTTCATGGAACCACTTTTAACAAATTTCTGAGCTTTTTATGTGGTTGAATCACATCTTGAGAAGCAGAAAAAGCCGATTTTTTGATTGCTGAGCAGACTGAGTAATTTTGAAATTGCTATAAAACGCTGAAAAGAAAACATTATGAAAATGTTTCTTCTCTGTTTGTAAACTTTTACAGTATAGATACGTTTTATGTAGAAAAGTATGAAAACTTATGTGAGCAAAGTGTCGGTGCCAGCTCAGCTGGCACCCAGCTGGCACGGTGCCAGCTAATTCAGAAAAAAGTTCGGCACAGCTTTCATTCACATAAGTTTCCATAAATTTTTGAGCTATAGTTCCGGTCTACCAACGCGCATGCACACACCAAATTTGGTGTCATACTATCGCATTTTGGCTGAGAACGAGGCCTTTGTTTGTTGATGGACAGCATGCCGGTAGCATGCCGGCGGCATTCTTGCGGCACTTCTCCGCCGCGGCCCGAAAAAACGATATCCGCTTTGCTTCCCGCCCTAAAAACGATATTCAGCTTGACCCGGTGCCAGCTGTGCCGAGCCGTGGCTAGAATTACTGATTATGGCCTTTGCATTCTATCTTGAGGTATCATTTTCGAATAGAATTGAGACCTTGATCCAATATAGTCATTAGGAAAACTTCTGCGATTAGCCCTTTATGATACTTTGGCAATAATCTCATCCTCGTTCCCTCTAAAATAGCTCCAAGATTTGATCTAACTTTGCTAGATTTGCCATTTCCTTTCTGTCTACTTGTGGTCAGAACCTAAAGTCGTAAATAGTCAATGACTTGATGGTTGTAGCTGCAAATATGAGACCGCTAAAAGTCGTCTGCTGAATTCTGAATACTTGTGCGGCGATTTAGACCGAACGATTCGGTGTTTATAGCGTTCTTGACCTTCAAATTATACGTGATGCATTCAGTAATGTAACCATTGGGGCGAAATGTAGGGGATGTATGTAGAAGTAGGAGAGAAGTAAGCAATAAGAAAGGAATCCATATTATGTGAATTTACCAAATTTAGTAGAAGTCTCAAGTTATTCGAAGTTAGACTCGAAGCTAAACAGGAAAGGTATTCGACTCGAAGTGGCCAACCCCAGCAAAGTATATACCATAATGACCGCTTCAATATGTTAATCTTGAATACGCTTTTTTCATTTGCTTATCGATTCGTTCGAAGTTACAGGCATTTTTTTGGTCTCTAACACTGAATTTGCTTGCTTTTGCAGGATCAAGTAGCAGAATTGCTTCAAAATGATCCCTAACAATTTCTTTCTGTAAAGTAAATACATTAAATACATCTCAGACATTCAGGCATCCAACTTTGCAGCAATTGGCGTATATTACGAGTTCCGTCATTTAGTCCTGGCCATGTAATATGAAGCAGAAAAATGCCTCTAACCTTGTGCAGTGAACCGATGAGCAGATATGTAAAACTGTTTGGAATCAGTGTTTCAAGTCCTTTCGACTGATGTACATCTCGTTGAGAAAGCCCACTTCGGGTCAAAAGCCTTCTACTGACAGTCTTGCTCATCGTTCTTCTTTGTCTTACTATTCTCGAAAAATTCTCGAAAATTGATCTGCAAATTGTTCAACTTGAATTTCTTGTGTTAATTCGATCTTACTCAAATATGGCCTTGACTAGAGGAAATATAATGGTGTTATGACATCCCACACCCCTTGCGATGCTACCACCTTAGATGAGGTAGACCCACCATTAGATGTAGGCTAGCTAATGTAGGGCGCATATTCATGAAAAGCATCGAAGACCGTAGCGCCACTTTTTTCTTTCGCGTGAGACTATTGTACTACATAGCATGTGCTGATGTTCTACTTTTTCTCCATGAATATCCCGATATTCGCTATTCCGATTTGATTGAACTCATAGAGGGTAAGCAGCATATATTATATGAGAAGAAATTCTGGCCAAACGCAAAAATCTGCTCCCGTTACATAGAAAGGCCTATGCCACAAACTTTCAAAAGTGCGGCTATGAAAAACACATTTCGTGTATATGCTTTAGACAGATTCAATACAAAAAATGCGAAAAAGGTGAACACTCTGTCCCACCCAATTGTTTGTAAATTTTGGCTAAAGAAGAAAATAAGCAGATGCATTTATGTAAATTTCTATTGTATATGTTCACTATATGGCCGACCAAAAGGAAGCTTTCTAAACTTTTAAGGCTAAGATCAAATTTCCGGCAATTCTTTCTTAGATTTTGGCTTCAAACCAGGGCTCGGCACGAGGTGGCTAGATGAAAATGGAAGAAACGAATCCCCCTTGACTTTTGGGAATTTTTACGAAGTCCCCTTTGACCCTCAACCAAATTTCCTCTAAAAACCTGAAAAATTCCTCAAAATCCCCCAAAAACCGAAGCGTCGACTAAAAGAAAAGGTCGCCGTCGCCAATTTTCCGTGTCTCTTCGGTCACAAAAACGAAACCCCCTTTGCTTTTCGTCCCCAAAACGATATCCAGCTTGCTTGTAAGCCACCTCGTGCCGAGCCCTGCTTCAAACTTCAAATGCGCCAGGAATTATGTGGGTCACCAACGATCATTTTATAGAACTTGCTTCATTATAAAACAGTTTCCTTTTTGATTTTCTCAACGTTCATCTATCTCGGAAGCATAAAAACCAACATTCCCTCTTTTAAAAGACGGTTCTTAACTTTTTGGCCTAGACACTTGAAGGCCTTTTACGACCATTCTACAGCGAAGTCAATGCAACAATTTCAGCACGACTTGCTTTGAAATCTGAACTCGCGGTCTTTTTGCTTTCTTTCGCTGCAAAATCCTGCGCACACGAGAACCTGTTCAAGTCAGCTTAGCACGGGAGTGCATTCATTTTGCTATTGAGGGTTTCTACGAATTCAGTTCGAGTTCCGAGTCGATAATGATTGCTGCGCAAGAGGGGGGGGGGGAGGGGGAGGACGCATGATGAAGAGATTGGTTGTTCTCTGAGGCTGGTATAGGATGTCCCAAATTGTGGTGAGTCTTTGGTCACTGGTAATTTTACTGTCTCAACGGCTGTTACGGATTGTCCGGTACCACTTATTAAGCTTTCTGTTGCATAAGAACGATAATCCGCTATATTCCATACTGTAACGATACGGTATGGCTCGATGCGAATCACCTACCTTTCAAGAAAATCCTCTAAAAACCCAGTGCTTTGTTTTGGGGCTCTTGAACCCGTGATCCAGCAAGACTCTGTACATGGTTTTTAGAGCAGTTCATGTCACGATCACATTTCTGCAACAAAAAAGGTTACTTACCGCGACGCTCATATTTGGAAGGATAATCACCTTGATAGCAGATTTTTGAGCCTGTTCTCATTGTGGAGGTGTTGAATATTTTCACCGTATTTTCACCGTACAGCGGAAATGAATGGGCCGTGGAAGTGGAAGATTTTTTTTTGAACGAGGAGAGCTGCAATCACTTCCAGAGAGGCATATGGCATCAATCACGCCCACAAAACAAATTGAGAAGCTTGTCAAAGCCTTTGCGAGCCAATCTCTTTCCAGAAATTTGGAGAAAGGGATCTTGTTAGAACATTGCCGTAGACAGAGCTCAGCTTTTATAGCTTACAACTAGTGTGCACTGAAAAACCATGCGTATTCGCCCCTTCCAGTTGGAAATAAATTACTTATCAACAATGACGAAGACATGCAGAACTACCTGCGCTGATAAGGCTTATCATCATCGTGGTTGATGAAAATAACAATAGACGCTGTGATTCAGAACTTAAGAAGTCAATAGTTTTCGTTTACATGTGACGTTCCAGCATGCTGAATCTTACCTTTAAATGTTTAGACGCTACGTATCGTAACGTACATTTTCGAATGATGAGTCCTCCTGGTTACGTGTTTTGGTGCAATCTAATTCTTCGCCGTATCAAACTAAAGAACTAGCGACCTTATGGGCCGCTAACAGTTTGGTTGGGGCAAACACTTTATAGCCAATCTAGCTGTGGCCATAAATATCTCTACATTTTGTACCTTTTCTAGATCTTTGCAAAAAAAAAACAGGATTTTGCTATCTTATCACAATATCTTGAATTCTGGGCAACACGAAAATTAAACGAGAACATCTGACTTTCTCCTATGAATTTTCTATGGAGCAGATTTTAGATTTTCCTAACAATCTCCATTGAAAGTCACCTCGAAAGCAGACGAATCTCAAAACGACGATGTATTATACAAAAGACTCAGCTACTCAAAAAAATGCCTTAGTTCTAAGAAAATTTTTGTAAACAAAGGTCTACGTACCGTTCACAGATCTTTTTTTGTAAAGAACGGCTCCACATACCGCCTACAGAGCGATATACCTAAGAAGTGCCCCACAGAAGAGAAATACTGCCTTACGAGCCGCCCACAGATAAATATTTATGAGAAAAACTTACCAGCCGGTATTCGAAGAAGTATCAAAAGTCCCTACAAACCAGCATTTTAAGAAGAAAAACACACCTATAGCCGCCTACAGAATGTTTTGTGCCGATCCCCTACAAACAACATTTTGGGAGGGATTTGCTGCATACTCCCCTTGGAATTTTCAATCCTTCCGCAAATCATTTTGGACTTCCTTCGACGTTTATGATATTTCTTCTCTTATGAATTAGCAAGTGTAATATTGATTACGATCATAGTGATCATCAACAATTTCTGGAATATGTGCAATGGTTTCGTTCGAAAATTGATGTCACTGCTGATAGTTTATACAGGAGCTATGTTTTCTCTGTGGTTCAAGAAAAAGCATAATCTAAACAACGCATGAAGAGAATTTTGGTTGCATATACAGTGCGGGGAATCTGCGTAACTCCTATTTATCATTCTATCACTTAGTTTTTAGACTTAAGTTATGTCTTGATCGAACGAATTTGCTTTTGCAGAATTCGCTTCTACCTCGATTTTCACGACACTAGCAATTTTGTAGATTCAAAATAATAGGCTGGCTAAAAATAAGTTCGTTTTGACATATAAATCTTCATAAGAATTTTTCTCGTTGTTTTCTATTTATGATTGTTTGTGGGAAAGTAGCTCAAAGCTTTCTCTATCACATTTCACATATTCAGGATTTTGTATCATCAGTAAAGATAATTTGCCCCAACAGGGTAATTTAAAAGTTGACTTTTTGACTTTCTAAGCTTCGTTTTTGTGTTGTGATGGATGTAAAGAACAGCAGTTTGGTATTGGAATACAGAGGAGTCTTCCTACTCAGTGATTAACAATGAAAATTGTGATCTGCCACTTTGAAAATGTTTTACCAAAAAGCCAAATTTCCTCATATATGCGCATTATAACAAAATTAAGCCTTCTCATTTCTTTGCAGATTTTTTCATTGGAAGATAAGTTCTACTCAGATAGAATATATGGTCGAATCCCACTGATGTGCTCTTTCCAGAGATACCAAACGTTGGACTAAAATTTGTCTGCAGCATTTGTAGGAGCCGCGAAAACGGTCAAACTTATTTATCAGTCAACCTAATAAATGCACAGCTTCCAAACGAAACTTGAGGCTGATTCCCAAGAGAATATGGAATAGGGAAGGAAACCAGGAAAACATTCAGTGATTTTGTTGAATTTAGTTAGCCTGCCAAGTTTATGCGCTCAATTTAACTTTCTAGAGTTATATTTGTTTGTCGTTGTCTTTGTCGTTCTAAAATAGTTTTTTGCGATAAGGTCCCACCTTCCTGGGTTGTCGTATACATATTCATTTCATTGAAATTGGAAACCATGTAGTCAGCATTCTTTCTCCACAAGACGAGATCTTACTGCTCATCTTTCTCTGTGCATGTTGTGATCTGGAACAACCAGTCCATTATTAGCAAAAACTGCAATTTCAGAGCTATCATGTCACCCAATATTCGGCGCAATCACCTTTTCTTTTCTTTGTAGAAAATTATATCCTTGATGAGTATATGTGGTTCCTTATTAAAGTTACATTTTATGCATAGAATTTGTGCAGCGAGATGCACTGGGCAGTTATATAGCTATCTTGTTTGCAAATAAGTGCGAAGGCTTTTCTAGAAGCATATTTCTGTTAAAAATATTCCCGCACATCCAATTCATTTTCTCTGGTTTACACAAATCATAGGCAACATCGTGCGTCTCCTCACTTTAGTTTTCCACAAGCTCACTAATATGTTGATTAAAAGCGTTGTACCAAAGCTTTTCAAATTCGTAAATTATGAATCGAACTTCATCCCACTTGACCCATTTCAAAGAGAAATTCACATCTCCTTCATCAATGATTTGAGGAAGAATCAACGTAGCGATCAAACTGGTGAAGGAATACACCCGTTTCGTATTTTTTAAAAACCTTTTTAGAAAAGCTAAAGGTCTATTGAATTTTGATTGTGCCTGTACTGCCTTGCACGTAAAATTCGACCTCTTTACTTTCACTTTGTCGCTCTTTTTTTCATATTTGATTTTCGTTCGTAATTTCCTACGGTTTTGTGATTCAGGAAAACCATACCCCATAGAACGGAGGCGAGCCGACTGTCCGATAGTCATTACCAGAGGTACGAAATTATATCGCATCTTATAAGCTGTAAGCTCTGCCTCTGTCACAGTTTACAGTGGGAGAGATCACTGTTATTTACAGACTATCTGGAGGTGTCTCGAAAGAGAACGAAAAAATGTACGACAAAGGACATCATATGATGACATGCGAGTCTGAAGCTGAATGCACATCTTGGATCAGGCTTTTTAGAGCGGTAAGTGCATTAATCATTTCTCTATTGGAAAAATGAAGATAAAGGGATGCTGAGTGACGAACAAAATTCCCAAAAATTTTTTCCAGTTCGATCTCGATCACGATGGCTACATTCCAACAACCGACCTGAAACGAAGCATCCGCGAATCCGCATTCTCGTTCGGCCTGAATCCGGAAGAAACGGACAACATGATGACAAACATCGACAAAGATGGCGACAAGCTGATCGACTTCTCAGAATTTTGCACTTTGGTGGGTGACAGAATCAGTTACGGATGTTAAAGCACTACGCGCTACTATTGCAGAACACATCCAGAAAACTTCTTAAAATCGCTTTTCAAGAGAATGCGATTCTGAAAAGTACTCGCACTGCTTTTCTATAAAACTGGCAAAAAAGCGTCGGTTTTCCTTTTTTGCATCCGTTTAACTTGAATGATAACAAGAATGGGAGATTTACGTTTCGAATAGGAAAGTGGAGGCATCTGGAGAAACCAGGCCAATTTTAGAGGTTTTTGTACTCCATACAATCTCGAAGAGCACGCTTGGGCACGAAATGATTATATAGTTGAAAAATGACAATCAGAGTAACAGTTCGTATTTATTTTGCTTGGCATGATGTTATGCATTTGAAAAAACAACAAAAATTTTATGAGCTCAGCTGGGGTACAATGAGGGTCTTGCTGGAAAAAGAACAGAAAATATAATTTGTTGCATATTGCATAGCATATTTCAACTGATTTTTGGATCTAAAAAGTACCTTGACGAAAACCTGCTTGTAGTGACGCAACATTGATTGCATTCGTCATTCTTGATGTGGCAAAGTATTTTCTTTTATAAAAAAATCATTAAAAGATGATTGAGTGAGATTGAGATAGCGCGATTCAGCATAGTGGCTTGGATATCTTGCATCTATTATGAGATCTTCAGATGAGTCGAGCGAAACACCGTCGCGTTCTGCATCTGATGTTCCGAGCTGCTCAGATTGTCGTGCCAAAATCGAAACGAACGGAACCCTTCGACTACTTACAAAAGTGGGTACACCTTTTGAAAGCAGGACTCAATGGTATCCGTACAAAGCGAAAGAACTTTAGATGCTTGTGCATATCGGGTGGAATAAGTCATTTTGCTATCCGGTCTTACAAACCAGTTCGCATAATTCTTACCCACTACTATGCGTGATTTCAGGTACAAATGCTGCCCGCCACCTATATTTATGTTGATTATTAGTATTATACAGGTAAATGCTCCCAATCACTTTCTGAAAACTGAATCGAAATGTTTAGGTGGCCATCTATATCTATTATACCGTTGAATCTGGAGAAGGAGTAAGCATGACAGGACCAGTGCCTACGAAGTCGCCTTTGATTTTCAATCCATATCGCAAGCACGAGGTGTGGAGATTTGGGACATACATGCTCATTCATATCGGGTTAGTGCAGCTAAATGTTTTCCTTATGTGTCAGATACACTCATTAGGAATACGAAAACTTTACGACATCCACCCTCAAGAAGGCTTTATCTTCTTCTGAAATTTGTTCTGATAGGATACTTCTTTCTCACGACAGTGAAGATGGAATGTGAAAAATTAGATGATATCGTAAAAATGCAGAATTGTGCTTTCGTCATTCATAGTGTGACCCAAAGATTAGGTTCCCTGAGTTCTTGGACTAGATAATTAGAGAGATTTTATTTGATTTTTGAGAAGCGAAAGGTCTATTATAATGTTTCTCTCCCTCGCTTTCAAGTTAAAATGCAAAATAGCATATACTGAAATAGCACATATTACCATGCCAATGTAACTTCCGGATGACTAATCAATCTTCTCAATGACTAATTTTGCAGACTGTATCATCTCATTTTCAACGTACTGACGCAGCTCATTCTTGGTATCCCCCTCGAACTCGTACACCAATGGCGCGTTATTCTTGTCTACATTGCTGGAGTTTGTTCAGGTTCGTTACTGTAATTTACAATCTTACACAGTCTGTAACCATTTGTTGGACGCCATTTCACTATTTTCTTAAAGAGCCGGTTTTTCTAAGTTAAAATTTGATACCTTTTCGCGCTTCGTATTTGAGATTTGCGAATCTCCACTAGACACCATGGCTCTATGAGAAATTCGTATCACCATTACTTTTTTTGAATATACTGTCGCTTAAATTTCAAACTACTTAAATCTGAACAACTGGATGCCTCACTGAGAGAACCCTCTCCTCCTCTTCTAAATACTCATGACTTCTTTTCAATCTTGCTGTGCCGTACATTAGGATGGTACATCTATTCGCATCTGCAACGTTTCTGCGCCTTCGCCGTCCTCAAAGGCCTAAAAACAACCCAAAGCATCACCTCCAACATCAGACCATCAGATGGTCTCCTCTAGCCTAGCTAGCAACTTTGTTCAATTCAATTCGCAAAAACTCTCCAGACAGAATCAACCCACCGTTTACAACCGCTATATGATGTGTCCGCACTGGAAGAAATTGACAGAGCGATCGAAGTTAGTGACAGAAGCGGACAAGTGAGCAATACTGTAGAAAGAAGAGAGGATATGCTATCTACTACCTATAGCTCACATAGTGCTACGAACGGCAGGTCGGCTGTAGTAGACAAGCTTCCGAAGATATCCAGAAAGGTTCTAGTGCCTTTCTAGCCGAGATCTCTTTCTCACAGCTGAAAGGCAGCAGTTCACCGAAACCCCGAACATCCCGAAAATTTGACATGGAAGGTTGCTTGCACTCTAGACATGAGAGCAGAACAGATCCGAGCGCACAGCATGCTGCCCTTGCCTAGAAAACTGCCCCTAAACCCGTTACGCGCAAGCCATTCTAACATGCGCGGACGAGCTTGCGATCTTCCCTGACCTGTTAGAGAAGGCATGCCGCAATGTTATAACTGCGAGGGCCCCGCAACGACTCTGCCTCTCTAACCATGACGGGACGTGCTCCACTCGTCCAAATTCAAAATGAGAGGCCTTGGCAAATGGTGTTTTTTTTGCAAATTTCACGCTCTTCAAGGTGGATTTTCGGAATCAGCGCCTCGAATTACCCCAGGTAAGCAAAAAAAACTTAAGTCGAGAATCTGCCGAGCCGCTGCTTTTAAGGTTTTGCACTTGACTCTGAAATCTGCTCCATTAGCGCTTCATCATTTTGTCTTTAAGGGTGTTGCCAAGCTCTTGCGTTCATGCTTGCCAGATGTTCTTTTAGACGTACACTCAGTACCCTGCCAGTTTCGCCGGTATATAACGCGCCGCATTCCATGCATTCGAGTTGATACTACATTCACTATTGTACTCCCCTCCTTTGTTTTACGGGCACACTATGCATTGTTCAGTTGCGCATTTCTAATGGTAAAGCCGATTTCGTACGGGCTGCTGTTCAATGTTATCGTTTAGTATGCCAACCAAAATGTCTTCGTTGAGCAACTGTGCGCGAGCCATTGGTGAAAGGCTGCCGTGATCTTATCGGAGATGAACTGGAGGCACAATGAGAGTTTGTTGCGGTTTCGAGTGCGGCTAACGTGCCATGACGTCTAACTTGCGAAAATGCGGGATAACCGTTTTGCATGCGACCTCCAAGGCTAAGGCTTCTATCAGTTTTCTGGACTACCGAAATAGTAGTTTATCATAGCATAGAACATCAGCATTATTAGTCTGATTTAAACCTTGTCAGCATCGAAATTGTCGAATAAATAAAGTTGTGAAGATGAACCGAACTTTTGAAACTGAAGTAACGTTTTCAAGCATTTCTTGCTGCGATTACAAAAGCTTCGGATCAAAAGCATTAGAAATTTTGCTTTGGTTCATCTGGAGTGGTTAAGAACGGAGATAAATCTCGGTAGATTCTGCTTTTGTTCGCTACCTCCTGGATTTCAACCATTGCAGGTTCACTATTGGTGACTGCTGTAGATCGTCATGTCTTCTTGGCAGGAGCATCCGGAGGTGTTTATGCTCTTCTAGCAGCACACATCGCCGAGTTGGTTATGAACTGGTCTGAGGTGAGACAATTCACTCAAATGTAACTTCCTGATTCACAAGTTTTTTAGATGGAGTTTAACTGGGCACGTGCTATAATACTCACAATCTTGATAGGATCGGATGCCGGTGTAGCCATTTTCCAGCGGCATTTCGTGGATAGGACGGACAAGGTGAGTTACAAGACTTGTGTCTACTTTGATGTATTTATTTTATCTGTAAACTTTCAGGTATCTTATGTCTCACATATCGGTGGTTTCGTCGCGGGCGTTCTCCTAGGCATCGTACTTCTCCGGAACTTCCGCCGACATCGATGGGAGGGTAATGTGTGGTGGACGGCCCTTGCCGTCTACACCTTCTTCGTTGCCGTCTGCATCGTTCTTATAATCGCTCCGGACTTCATAAAGTTTTGAGCAAATGCTCACTGGCTCTCGAAGAGCGAACTAGAATACGGGCGGATGAAGCTGTTCATGACTTTGTAAGCATGAGAAGTTCTCTAATACGTCAAATGATGATATGCTTAGACCTTCGCGAAATCTCGAATTGGGCAGCATCTGAAGTTGCACGTGCCGGAGTTGTGCTAGCGCTATGCTAACCTTACCAGCACCACTCCAGCGCCGTACCGATGCAAGAGCCCGTATCAATCAATCAGGCACTGGCGTGATACTGGAACGGGGGTGGCGCGGTGCCGCGGTGCCGCGGCGCTGGCACGCGCAACTCTGGACGCATTGGCTGTATTTCTACTTACTCTTGTGCTAAACATATCTTGCAAGCATTATCCATTGGCTGTTGTTGGTTCATATTTTTCACTTGACACGTTAACTATTATGTTCTGTTTTGCAAAAATCACAATGTAATCAAAGACATCGTTACAACTTGGTGACAGGTATTCGCTATAAGCATAAAGTGATTATTCGATTGCGACAGGCATCGCTTGTTTAATAAAAAACCTGAAGAAAAACATGTGCTACTCGAATTCTTCTCGTCATGGCTATTTTGTGACGTAGTAGCAGGACCAACTCTTAGCTTCCTTCCAGCATTCTTTTAAATTCGAGACTATGAGAGCAGACAATGAGCAGCACTCAAGTTTTTTGCTGACAATCCGATCCTTTCTCCTGTACAGTTTCTTTACGGTTTGTAGTCTGCTTCTGCAACCGAAAGAAGTGAAAATTGATAATCAATTCAACTATGGGATAAGCAAATTCCCAAGAAAATGCATCCGCACACTAGGGTATCTGCAGTCAATTCCTAGAAGACAGCCTCTCAAAGCATTTCATGAGTATTCATGAATACAACGTATCTTACTAGAATGTGAGGGTGACGAGTAAAACTATTTGGCTAATGCATCCTCTAACTGTTTCGGTTTTTACTATTCGCTTGAACTGGTTGAATATACTCGACCAAAAAGAACTGTGCATCGACAGCGTTCTAATCTGCAGGGATGGGCATGGAGTACAAACCTTTCCGTTGCTTTTGTTTCACCTTGCTTTTGTTAAATAGGTTTTACAGTTGCAAACCTTGTCTGTATGTGCGCTAATATTGAAATTTCATCATGTAAGGCGATCAAGCTCTGCAATTTTGCCTCAAACATCCACGTTGTTCCTGAATTTGCGAAATCATAAAAATATTCAAAGGCTGATAATCTTGAATGTCTGGTTTATCGCTATGACATAAAATCGATTTTCAAGCTAGAAATTTATGTTGTACTTGAGGCCAAGATATACCTCTCGCATACTTCCCTCGATTCCGTAAAATCGCTACAACCGCGCGACTCGGCAATTTGCTAAATGTCTACGGATTAATCATGCGAGGGTATCATGTCAGATGCATAGGCGTGTAGCTTCTATAAACTGTTGCAAAAGCAGCAAGTCTGGTCCAAAAAAAGCGGGCTTATGACCATTTAGGAAGAGTCGTTGTAGTGTTAGCGACTGACTTGGGTATGCCTTAGGCCTAACGGGCTTCCAAGCTCCCTTGAGCCGTGTGCAATATTTATGACTATATTTTATCAAGAAGAATCTCTCAATACTTACAGGGAATGCTCAGAAATCAAAGCGGCCAATCCAACGAAACGCATAGCATTAGATGCAGCATAAAACGCTGACTTCGAATCCTGTATTCCATATCTGCTCAACGCCTTTGTGGACGAAGTTGAGATGTTGAAGGCCTAATTGCTAAAAAAATCATGCAAACCGCAAATTTGGCAGTACAAAGCCATGTTTAGTTCAATGCTGTGCAACAATGTGCTCAACTTCGCAATTTTTATGCACGATTTTTCCGCAGTAAAACTGCTTTTAACTTCGTCCACATAGCCAAGCAGAAATGAAATGCGGGTTCGAAATCAGCGTTGAATGCTGCATCGAATGGTAGGTATCTTGCTTGGATTAGCCACATAGACTTACGACCATTCCTCTTGTTAACCAAATCAAACTGAGAACCACATCAACTCAGAAGAATAATATCTTCGATTTGGAGATTGAAACTGATGCTATGTGTAAATATGGAAACCGGAAATGGTTCTGAAATTGCAGTCAAGCACTTCTGCGGTAAATGTGCTTCGCTGCAAATCAAATTTTTCGGAAGATGGTCATGCAACAAAATTGTTTATAGATTGCGTCATAGGAGGATGCTTGAGCTACCAGCGATGGCGCCCGTGGTGAGGCTTCGGACGATGGATTGGCTTAGGAGGACGATGATGGAACGGCTTATGGTGGGGCGGCCTTGGTTTAGGATGATGGTGTTTGATCCTTGCTTCCACTGATGAAAGTAGATGAACATTCAGTTTATGGCAAACTCATTCTGAAACTTACCAGAAGTGCTGCAGATGAACATCAAAGCAAGAAGAGTTATCAGAAGAAACTTGAAGGACGCCATGATCCTTCAATGAAGCCTCAAATTCGCACACAATCTCACCGCTGGGTGACTTATATATCAAGTCAGTTGTTTTGGAAAAAATCTTGTTTGTCAAAGATGATATCTCAAACCAAAAATATATTGATAAAATTCCTAACAAAGATACTCGTTAAAACTCCAAAAAGTCGGCTGATTAGTCAACAATAAACGATCAAAATGGCGAAACGAAAAACCGGAAGTTGTTACGAACCTTTGCGGTGTTTCCTTTACTGGATTGCCTTTACGAAAAAAGACACGTGAATAAAGTTTCTGATACCTGACAATCGTCTTTTGTAAGAACTTCGAATTCTTGGTACAAAAGTCATCAAGGCAATATCTAATTTTGTTACGTCGTAATATATCGGTTGAGTCCAGAAAAGTATTTTAGCTAAACCGTCTTTGGCTTAGTGGTGGGCTCAGGTTCGATATAACTCGTCAAGGTGTAAGTGGCTGAATCTTTTCATTTTGAAATATCGAAATGGGAGAAGCTTTTGTGATGCGGTTTGAGGGTTGTATTGGGTTTGAGGAAAGTTGTATGTCCCCGAAGCTTCATTCTATGAATGTTTTTCTCACACGGTTGATTTTTTACGAATTGAAGGAGACTAGGCCTGATATTGCCTTTGAATTGGATATTGAAGCCCGTCTAGCTACCGACTTTTCAACGATGAAACCTTTTCTTGCTGCTGTTTCGTTATCCACTGAACGAATATGTCTAATTCTCAAAATAAATGAAGAGTGTGTCTACTTCAAACCGTTGCACTTTTTTCCGACTTGTGCACAAAAGTGCAAGGCTGTCAAACTTGCATCTGGCTGCAACTCCTTTTGCAGTAAGCCAGAATCAATAGGGATCGACTGTTGAATGATGGGCTTAGAAGGTGTGCAAGACAATATCAATACGATATCTGCAAGATTTTCGTTTATTCTGCAATGGAAAAAGGCAAAGTCACTTACTAAGAAATTTGTAGCAGTTCAGTGCTAAGAATAACTGATTGTTATATTTCGAGAAAAGGCGGCATCCCAAAGTCGCCCCTGTTCTCAAAAGAGCAGCCCAATGGTCTCCATGCAACTACCGTATATCAACCCTCTATCCCATTATGCCCGAGATAATCCTTAACATCTGCGTACTGGTGGCTGGTAATCAAGTATTTAAAGCCAATAAATTGGGCCTTTGCAACAAGTAAATCTCTAATGAAGGATAGTTTTAGAAGTTATAGTAATTTGAGAGATTTTTCAGCAAGTGAAAGGTACAATCATCATCTCTCTATAATAAAGCGCAGGGGGGACCATCCGATGTCAACAACCGGCGAAGGATGTTTGCGCAGATCTCTGAGTTAATTATCGCACTTTCACCCGCTTCCATACTGTTTACCGTTACGACTCAACCTAAGTGCAACCTATGACGTCATCAATGGCATGATATTTTGTGCCATCTTCGTGTTCCGTCTGCTTCGTTGATGTTTATCACGACGTCAAGCTAAATGCAACCCCAATTCCGTCGCCTACAACGCTCTTAGCGGTCGATTTATTTCAACCGCTTTACATTTTGCTTTATTCATTTGTGAAAATAAGCAAACGTCGGATAGCATCTTCAGGTCGGTGATAATACTTAACATTAATATCTGCATTACATCTCCTCAATTCTTTCTTAATCAGTGCACCACATCATCACTGTTTTTACCACTAAACGTATCTTTACGTGCAAAAACAAATCTCAAAATTGAACCTTTCCTTAAAAATCAAGCAAAATCATATCACTCATTGTCCATTTTCCTATGCACCATTCCATTTTTGTCTTCATTACCAAACGTATCTCATTAAAAAGTTTCAAATTTTACTCTGAAAAAATTCTTCCACAAGAATGAAGCAAAAGAAGCGAATGAAGCATGCTGAACGTATCTTCACATGAAAAATCCTTGAACTCACTGTGAAAATCGAACCTTTTTGAGAAAATAGTTAAACATCAACACTGTGCGAACTTTCCAAATTGTTATCCACTAAGTGATAAACATGGTGATGCGAATTGCCTTGAAACACTAAACGTTATGCGAAAAGCTCACTTTGCAAGAAACGCAGGTTCTAAGAGAACACTTCATCTCAGGATTTTGAATTTATCCAAAGACTGAAAATTTCAAAAAAACTGTAAAAGTTACTGTGATCGTGAAAGAAGTTTTGGAAAGAGCTACACGCTGTCTGTCTGCTATCAATATACCAAGTGTGAACAAAAGAGATGGAAAGAAAGGGACGCTTCACTAACCATCAACTCAACCCTTGCTAACCTCAGGAACATGTAGCTTTTTAGTTCAATTTTGTCAGAACATTGCACTACCTCAAAATCGTATAGACAGCGGTGATTTGCTTGAATGAACCGCTTAAATTGGATATACGCTTCAATACTAGCTCTCTTTACGGAATTCGAGTCAATAGCTTACCAAGATGAGTTGGAAAATGGGTGCGCTTTAAAGCATTTCGGGTGGAATTTATAGTCCTATATGGGCGTCTTATATGGAAGGCTTTCCAAATTGTTGAACAATTTGGAAAGCCCATATAGGACGCGAACGCGAACTCTGGCATTAGAATTTTTGAGCATATTTCGTGAAGAGGAAGGGGGGGTTTTCTATGTAGGAAATGTTATAATAGTAAGTTAGAATTTTGGCTAAATGCATTCAAGTGCGTTGAATTGAATCTCTTGCTGAAATCGCGCAAAGAATTCAGAATAGTTACTTTGAGGCCCATATGCATGAAAATCCTCCTAGTGGCAAAAAAAGAAGCGGCGTCCTCAATGATGAAAAGCCATAGCAGTGTTCGCCCGCGGCCCTTTTATGACAAGGGACGTCGCTTACTTCACCCCAGCTTTTCATATGTGCCTTCTAAGGTAGTTCGTAGGGACAGTCGATGAGGAGAGCAGAGCCCCGGGTGAAAACAGCCATGAAAATGTACATAGCTGGGAAAAGCTTGCCGGGTTTGTGACGGCCATTTTGGTCAGAAAACTTCCGGATGTGAAAATTTGAGAGTATTCGAGGATTTTTCGCAAATGTGGGAATGAGCAACTTTGGCAGCTACAGTTTATGGTGATAACGCTGAAACTTTGGCTCAAAACCGCACACCAACGCTTAGGGCTTGCGCTGCATTTCGCATTGCAGGAGGGTTCAAAGAAAAGGTGGGAACGGACAAGTCCTAACACCGCAGACATGATGCAGAATCTTTGCGTTACGCAGCTCATCACATTAATTTTGGCCTGATTCGGTGCACAGACTTCAAAAGTGTAAGGTGGCGCATTTTCTCAACAGCATATTTGGAGTTAGACACGAAAGCGATTAAGTAAGATTAAAATGATTTGAAATTGCGAGAAAAGATCGGTAGTTTGGCCAGTTTATAAAGGAAACATTTGAATGAAAAGGAAGTGGGTTGGGGGAGGCCAGTTTGCTCAGAACTCAGGAATGAGAATAAAACGCGAGTTTTAAAGAAAGCTGAGAGGAAGCGATTAATTTATCACTTTGGTTAATGATGTAACTTGGGAAACCATTTGAAGCAGGAGATCCTGACATCTAACTTTGATGATCTCCGAGTTCGTTGTGTGTCTGAGAAATCGCCATACTTTTGGAGGAGAAAAGGTTTCCACGTTCTAACTTTGAGAGTCATATCCCACCTGGTTATTTATCTAATATTCGAAATGCGCAGTCGTCGTTTGAACCTTTTAATTTCTCACATAAAGGTAGCGACCGAAACGCAGCAAAGATTGCATCCCAGTAAATTTAACGCTTTTTTGCTTCCTCATCTTTCGCTCATCATAACATTACGTCATCAGATTAGATTTTCGGTGTTTTCACGAACATTTGCTAGAACCAGTGACCATAACTTTTGCTTGACAAGTGTCGTGTTCGACAAATCCAAAACTTTTTCAGTACGGTAACTTACTATATAAGTTCTCTAAACTTTCAGATTGGTGCAAATTCGAGTCTTCCAATAAGTATAATGGCGTCCTTCAAATTTCTTCTGATAACTCTCCTTGCGTTAATGTTCATCTGCAGCACTTCTGGTGAGTTGTAGAATTGGTTTATTCTCGACTCAAACTTCATCTACGTTTTGCAGTAGAAGCAAGGATTAAGCACCATCATCCTAGGCCAAGGCCGCCCCACCATAAGCCGATCCATCACCATCCTCCCAAGCCAATCCATCGTCCGAAGCCTCACCATAGGCGCCATCGCTTTTAGCTCAAACATCTTCCTGTGATACATTTGATGAACTACTTTGCTGCATGATCTTTATAGAGCTTACTTGAAAGGCAAAATACATGTACGATATGAGTGCTTGACTATGCAAATTCAAAACAGTTACCAGTCTTCTTGCTTACAGCAGCTCGTTGCTTATACTCTTCAGTCAAAATTGGTATTTTATGGGTGGAGAGGTTTTCATTTTGTCTGTCTAACTGTTATAAGATTCTTCTCAATATGCTCAAATGTAGTGTATACAGCACAAATAGTTTACAAGCCATAGCAGATAAAAGTCTCAGAAATCAACATAATCTGAATTTTTCAATGGCTTGATCAGCTCAAGCTTCTTTTGATACACTCGATAAAAATTTTGCTGCATGAGGATGTTTAAGAAAGTTTTGCTGGTAACAAGATCTATGTTAGCATTCTTACCATTCTGCGGTTAGTTATGGTTGAACAGGTTTTATGGTACGGATAATCGTGATAAGATTGTTATCTACGACTTTATTTGTTCTGACTTTGTGCTACAAACAGCTCATTGATTTCCCTTCATGAGGTCCTTGAAGTATTTCAATGCAAATTCATTAGCAAAATTATAGCAACTGGAAGTTGCAAAACTCGGTGTATTTTCTGCTAGCCACTTTATATTATGGAGTGCTATTATCAACCGCTTGATACCCTGATTTTAAAATGATGAAGGAGTCAAAATCTGTAAACATAAGTTAAATAGGGTCAGCAATTTTGGAGCTCAAGTTTGCACAGGAGAAGTCACATATGAAGGATCATGTTTAGAATTCAAGACCTGTCCCAAAAATAACAGTTGCTTACCTTCCATCCTCTATGACAAGTAAAGTCATCTGCGTGAGAGGATCTTTATCACTTGAAAGATGAAATGAAATACAGGGTGTCCCAAAAGTAAGTACACACTTTTTAATCGTCAATATCTCTCTTCTCATTGGGTCTTTTTCCGCCACTCAAATACCATTTTGTAGAGCGAGGTTGAACTTAGATTTGCAGTATGGAGCGGGTCATCGATCGCTCTTCGTTACTGTAGGATTAAGATAGGAACTTCCAGCATGTGGAACCATTGTGAAATATGCCATCTGACAAATTTTAAAAAAATCTGAAAAATCGTGTACTAGGGTTTTCGCGCACGCCGATTCCACTGCATAACTTTTGTGAGTGTTTCCAGCTTTTCTGATAGTGTAATTACATTTCCGACCTGCTGGGAACTCGGTTATTACGGTTTACCTGGGATAACTCAGGAAAGAAGCATCACAGTCAGGTGGAAGTTTCATGTTCGAAATCAGCACTTTGGCAGAAGTATGAAAATCTTCGTTTTCTTGGTTTCTAACTGAGAAAAAAATACGGCAACTGCGTACATATACGTCTTATGTGGATAGTGTTTACGTGAGCAAGTTAGAATTTGTGTAGGATTTTTATGAACTGAGTTACGATTTTTCTCAATTTTTTGGGTAGTTAAATCTTTTTAGTTTTTGGCTCGAAACTCGTGGTGGATTAGAGCTGTTGCCAAAACAAGATTGCCATCTTGTAGAGCTTGCTTTGCTCTGTCGAATGGTACCTTGAAAGCTATTCAGGGATGAAAAATTTATGACTTATTGCGGTTGGAATTTAAAACCTGCATTAATTTCCGGACAACCTAATACTTGAGCGCTGGAAAAAGATCCAATGAGAAGAGAGATATTAACGATTGAAAAGTGTGTACTTACTTTTGGGACACCCTGTATATATATTCTGAGTCAGCTTTGAACGCTGATTCCAATTTTGCTGTTACTAGTTGCCGCGCACCATTCCGAAGGGGGTTATGGGCTTTTCCTGCGCAAAATTGGCATGCTTATCGACTCACTGGCATCACGGCAACATCATTTAGGGTGCTATTACAACTGCGTTAAGCTTCTTTTTAGAAAGGATTGTATTTGCGTTAGTTTGATATTTCAGCACCTTTGAATATAAAATCTTTAAAATCCAAATTATCCTTGTAAAATTTTTTTCTTCGGGCCATGGCTGCTGCTACCGCCAATCTTTCCAAATTTCAAGGATTATGGGTCTGCAAAAAGAAGCATCCCAAAAATTTTTGCGGAATGCGTGGCCAAAGCCACGCACCTTCATTGGAGAAAATTATTGCACCCCCCCCCCTGACGGAAATCCTGGGACGGCCACTGCTAGATGCATTGAATATCTAATGTATATTCTAGCTGTGGTTGTTTGGTCGCAAGAATTCAAATAAAAGGCGTAATCAGGGGCAAGCAAAAGGTGTGCGATACGATCGCTGCTTACGCTCCCCCCCTCCCCTCCAGAGTTATATGTCTCTAGAAGACTTCTTTATATCACCAATTACTTACTGTAAGCATAAGAAGGAGGCCATATCAAGCAAAAGTTTATTTTTGTATTAGCATGGCAATAACTCCCTTGGGCCGATGTTTTAGAGTAATCTGAGATTTTACAGATACTAGGCCATCCAAATGAAGTCGTCATTTTCTAACATGGTTGAGACTCTGCGGATCGAATGCTACGAATTCAGCTTTCTTATTTCTCTATCTTGCAATGCTCTTCCGTTAGCAGATGTTAGCTCTCAAATACCAGAACAGATTTTGAAAAGTGGCTTGTTTGACTGGTTGAGGTCTTTAGGCAACCTGTGCGTGCAATCGCCGCTCAGTCATCGATCTTCACAGCCTGTGAAAGCCCTATAACTTCACTAGCTACCTGTTTTTGAGTCAATAAAAAACATTGCTCACACATCGTGTGACTCACTCAAACAACGAAAAACTTTGATATTAAAAGCTCGGAGAAATTCACGTTTATCCCTTTTTTCGTTTTCTGTGGCTGCACTTTCAGCAATCTTCACTCAGAAGAATGTGACGAACAGTTCTCAAAGTATTCATTGCAAGCTACTGATTCAGGCTATTGACCATTTATGCATCATGCATGTAAAATTTTTTCTGTAACAAAACTACTGAAGTCTCGCGCAACCCCACAAAAGCACAACTGCTACATTGAGGATGAAGGGGTGTGTTGATGAAGGGAATCGGTTACAAGTAGGTTTAATTAGGCCCAATTTGTTGAATCTGCTTTTGAAAAACAATTTTTTCGAGTTCTCAGAGCCATTTCATCTTTCAAGTGAAAGATTCACTTATGCAGATGATTATACTTGCCATAGAGGATGAAAGGTATGCAACTGTTGATTTTGGAACACATCTTCGAATTCAAAGCATGAAATCCTTGTGGTCGTGACTTCTCGAAATGAATTTGTGCAAATATGAGCTCCAAACTGCTGACTAACTTACGATCACGGATTTTGATTCTCTCATCATTTTGAATTAGGATATCAAGCGGTTGGTAGGAGCTCCATAATATACTCCATAATATAAGGTGGTCAGCACAAAGATATACCGAGTTCTGCAGATTCCTTGCTATAAGCTTGCTTATGAAACTGCACTTGAGTATACTTTGAGGGCCTCATAAAGGAAAATTGATGAGTTGTTTGTAGCAAAAAGACGGAACAGATATAAAGTCGTTGATACCGATCTTAACACAATTATCCGTAGCATACGGCCCGTTAATCATAACTAACCACACTGTATGATACGAATGCTAACGTAGATCTTGTTACCAGTAAAACTTTCTTAAACGTCCTCTTGCAGCAAAATCTCTACCAGGTGTATCATAAAGAGCTTGAGCTACGAGATCAAGCCATTAGAAAATTCAGATTATGTTGGGTTTTGCTATGGCTTATAAATCATTTGTGCTGTATACTACATTTGCGCATATCGAGAAGAATCTTATAACAGTTGGACAGACAAAATGAAAATCTCTCCACCCATAAAATACCAGTTTTGACTGAAGAGTATAAGCAACGAGCTGCTGTAAGCAAGAAGACTGGTAACTGTTTTGAAATTGCATAGTCAAGCACTCATATCGTACATGTATTTTGCCTTTCAAGTAAACTCCATAAAGATCATGCAACAAAGTAGTTCATCAAATGTATCACAGGAAGATGCTTGAGCTAAAAGCGATGGCGCCTATGGTGAGGCTTCGGACGATGGATTGGCTTGGGAGGATGGTGATGGATCGGCTTATGGTGGGGCAGCCTTGGCCTAGGATGATGGTGTCTGGGTTTTGCTTCCACTGAAAGCATATGGAGGTCTAGTCGGGCTAGGCCGATTCTGAAACTTACCAGAAGTGCTGCAGATGAACATTAACGCAAGGAGAGTTATCAGAAGAAATTTGAAGGACGCCATTATACTTGTTGGAAGAGTCGAATTTGCACCAATCTGAGAGCTTAGAAGGCTTATATAGTAAGTTACCGTATTGAAAACGTTTTGGGTTTGTCGAACACGGAACGTGTCAAACGAAAGTTATGGTCAAATTCTGGTTTTAGCAGATGTTCGTGAAAACAATGAAAATCTAACTTGGTGAGTGACGTAATATAATGATGAGCGAAAGATGAGGAAGCAAGAAAGCGTGGAAGTTTCTGGGATGCAACCTTTGCTGCGTTTCGATCGCTAACTTTATGTGAGAAATTAAAGAAAGGTTCAAACGACGACTGTGCCTCCAAAAACATTTCGAATATTAGATAATGATTGTACCTTTCACTTGCTGAAAAATCTCTTAGATTAGTGTAGCTTCTAGCTAAACTATCCTTTCTTGGAGATTTTACTTATTGCAAAGGCGCAACTTCCTGGCTTCAAAAACTTGTTCAGGATTATTTCAGGCATATAGTCCTTCGGAGAGTTGATATGCTGTAGTTGTATGGAGACCTACTGGGTTGCTCATATGAGAAGAAGGACGATTTTGGAATGCCGCCCTTTCTCAAAATATAACAACCGGCCATTGGCACTCTAAAACTGTTAAAATTTTCTTAGTAAGCGACTAAAGATTCTTTCGCTTTGCAGAATAAACGAAAATTTTGCAAATATCGTACTGATTTTGCCTTGCTCATTTTTTGAGCCCGTTATCCAGCAGTCGATCCCTATAAATTCTAGTTTGCTGCAAAAAGAGTTGCAGCCAGATGCAAGTTTGACAGCTCGCGCTTCTTGTGCGCAACAGAATTTGAGTGCAACAGCGGCTTTGAAATCGACACACTTCTCTCTTATATGTTCCAAAACCAAAAATTTAGCCGTTTACAG